CACTATGTATGTATATATATATATATATATATATATATATATGTGTGTGTGTGTGTGTGTGTGTGTGTGTGTGTATGTGTGTGTGTGTGTGTGTGTGTGTGTGTGTGTGTGTGTGTGTGTGTGTGTGTGTGTGTGTATGTATAGGTTGGAAGGAGGCCATATTTAATACAATACCATATATATGTATATTAAAACCAAATCGTGATGATTGACCCTGAACAGTCAACCATCAAATAACAATTGTTACTAACAGTTCAATAGACTGTTGCAATAGTCCAATCGTGAATGAACGAGCGAATGGATCAGCGCCACTACCATGGTGGTTTTGCTCAACTACTTTTTTACTCGCCGTAGTTGACGAAGTTGAAACAAACACGACTTAACCATACATATTTAAATCTATATAAATATAAAAAATTATTAAAAGATTCGGTCAAGGGTCAAGAATTAGTTTAAAATATATGTTATATGAATTTATTAAAAACAACGGTTTTTGCAACAGTCACAAACGTACGTTCGTTGTAATTATAAAGATAAAAAGGTTGGGTAAGTATAGTATAGTTACTTTTGTTTGATTATTTTTCATAATTTTCAAGACGCATGTAAACATACAAAATTGAAAATTATTTACACCGAAGCTTTTGAAAACCTATCCAAGATCACAGACGTAAATATCAGTTGTATCATCAGAACTGTGTAAAAATTTCAAAAGATTTTTTGAGGCATTATGAGCAAAGGTCTCGTGGTATTGAAAATCAATTGCAAAATGAGTAACAAAAGCAGATTGAAGAAAACCGCAGACGTTTAATACCTATTGTAGAAACAGTGCATCATTGTTGAAAGCAAGTAATTCTTATAATATATTACTATGTTATTTTTGTTACTATTGTTGGTTGCATTGTTGTTACTGATTTTTGTTCTTTACGTTCCATTATTTTCTAGATCATGGAATTTTTATATCCATTATTAGTGAGTAGTTAAGTGATTCCATCTAGTTCTGTTCTCCTGTTTCCTATATCAGAAAAGTTTTTTTGTGTTGTTGTCAAGAATTTGGTGGGTTATTGGAGTTGATTGATTGTATTGATTGCAAGTGAGAGAGGATGGCTCCTCTTTGTGTTTGCATTGTGAGACTTCTTGATAGGGAAGTGATCGTAACACCAACCTACGAATGTTGTTGACTTGCACAGTCATCAATAGGACATCTAAATTCATACATTACATGATTACGCTTCAAAGTAGAATCTTCTTTAGGAGTGCGGTTGTTTTTTAAAACCAATTGTGATGTCCTACAATGATTGTAGTATACCCTGAGTTTTATTTTATTAGTATCATTGATTGGTGTAACATTTCTTTTTAGGATTTGTTTGAGGACGACTTCGTCTTTTTTATGTGCCGTTGACATATGATTGTTGTAATATAGGATTATATCGTTGTCAATGTTGTTTTTGAATAGATTGCTTTCTTGTTGTAGTCTTTGGTGAATGGTGCTCTCAATGGATGATGTTTCGTAACCATTGCTTACCAGTAGATTTGTAAATCTTTTCAGTTCCGTATTGATATCTTCAGTTGAGGATGAATGCGTGAATGCACGGTTTCCTCCCAAAGGATTTTGTTGTACTTATTCTAAATGGTTCCGTGCATTCGCTTAACCTATTTAAACAAATACCTTTATTCGTTGCTTTGACGTATATGGCAGTTGTGAATCTCTGTTCGTCATGCGTCACCAAGGCTGGACTTTTTCTTGAGGTATGTTTTGGTTGATTTTCCTTTTTATTGCGTTTGGAGATATAAATATATATATATATATATATATATATATATTGTTTATTGTCAACAATTCGGTAGAATTCATACAATACCGTACAAAATATAGTCTCCTTCCAATTTTTATGCGTATTTCTATGACCGACGGACAAAACAAACAACCGAGCAAGAACGTGAGCAGCGATTGTTTCATCTTTTCCGGTAGTTAGAGGCAAAATTTGTCTTTTGGTTTCGCACAGACATTAGAACCTTACTATCGTCTAGTAGCAGCGTGAGACATAATTAAAATTACATAAATATATTAATAGTATAAACAAAGGGCTCAACGTATGAATATACAAACTGGCTAGTGCAATGTCTCTGCGTGTTCTTTAAAAAAATAGAGTCCCGGTTGTAGCACGTGCTCACTCTTCGTATTACACTTCATGCGTGTTTCATGTACAAAACATTTATTTTGCCATAAGTTGCTGATTACATTGAAGATATTTCTGTCCACATCAAACACGTGCACAGCACATATTATTTGTACGTGAACGTGTGATGATGTTTTACAATGCCCTAATTTTATATAATTAATCAAAAATTCACTTTCGTAAACTGCATTTTGTAACCGTTATTGCAACTTGCCCAAACTTGGAAACAAACTTATTGTAAATTATAAACAACTGAACAACTGAAAACTCTGAATGAAGCAGCGAAACGTACGTGATCAGATATTAATCATTGGATTGTGATTTCTGATATACGAGTAAGCAATCCAACGAACGAAACATGAATTTGAATGTCCTATCGAGCACCTCCCGCCACAAATCAACATGACAGTTCAGTCTCTGGTGCGTTATCTAACGCAGCACAAAAATGATGGCACCAAAATGAAAACAATTTATAAACACGTGCACCAGCATTGTGAGTGTATGTGTGAATTTTTTTTTAATAAATTGCTCGGTGTTCAACGTGGCAGCCAACAACGTACTTCATGAATGATAGATGAACAACAACATGCAGCCAAACATTTTGATAAGCAGCTGGTTGCACACGTGAGCCACGATCGCAAGCACATTCAACATGTTTCACAGACGCGCCCAAAATAAGAATCACAAGCACAACAACAAATACGAATCACAGACACAACAAACACCCATCACACTTACATAGAACATGTATCACAGACACACAACACCAACTGCGATGTTTTCATGCATGAAAAGTTGCAACCCTGATCTAATTAACAACTTCTCTAATAAATATTGCAACGTTTGTTAGAGGGTTATACTTCAAATGACTGATTTTCGTGATTTAATGTTTTATATATATATATATATATATATATATATATATATATATATATATATATATATATATAATATATTATTGATGAACATCACAGCATGTTCGGCGTTAGTTAACTTCCAATTTAACAAGCTAACTTGAAAATGATTTACGATCAACTGTTAGAAAAGTCGTTAAGTTAAATTCGAAGTTAACTAACGCCGAACATGCTGTGATTTTCATCAATAATTGCATTTCTGACAGTCTTAATCAATTATATATATAAATATAATTTATACTGCGCTGTTCTCAAAGTTCTCCAAAAGGCGCTTTTCAAACTGGTTTGTTCAGTTCTTATGTTAAAGGAAATCTTTTAAAATCGGGTCAATTTTTTGGCTAAAACGGAGTTTCGCTTTCACCTCAACTTAATTTTTGAATTTTGTTTTATTTTTTTTTTCTTATTACCATGTTCTCATTTATTCAATTGGAGTTTTTGGAGAAAAGTTTTCTTTCAACATGATGAGAAGACATGGACAATTAAATGGCTCTTGTTCTTCTTTAATGCTTGTTCATGTGCGCCTAACTGTGTGGACCAGTCTATAAGCTGCTGTTGCTGTTATTTAATAATATATTTAAGCTATATTTTTGCTACTGTAGCTTCAAGATAACAAGTTTCATATTTGCGACGTATATTATATTTGTGAATAATTGGACTGAAAAGCTTTATAATCATTTTTAAGAATTAAACAAAATTGCTTGGATATCATCATGTTATAATTTTATAAATTTTTGTCATCACCACATTGCATAACCGTATCAACATTACCCCATCATCACAACACAACATCATCCCATCATCACAACACAACATCCTCACATCATTCTATCATCATAACATCACAACATCAGATCTTTTTGCCAGTTGAACTCAAGTGAAAAAACAGAGGAAAGCATGTTTTTAAATACCATTTTTCCGACTATCATTTCATTAGTTGTAATAATTTATACTCTGTTTTTAGGTAAATTTTATAAAATTATTTAAAAATCAAATGCCTTTTCATTTCAAAATTACAAAATTATGTCAAAAATAATATGCATCTATCATCTCATCTCATCTGCTTGTCGGTTTTGTGTACATTGAAGGGAGTGATTTGTGGTGATTGTTGTCATGTTTGCATATTCATATTATGTTCTTGTTCGTGTCTTTTTGTTCTTGTTTATATCATTGTTGTTTGTATCATTCGGTTATTGTTTGTATCATGTTTTTGTTCATATTATGTTTGTAATGTTAGTATGTTTGAAGTTGTTTGTACTATGTCCGCTATGTTTGCTGTGTTTGCATGTTCGTTGTTCTTGTTCCTATCATTATGTTCCTGTTTTTATTTTATTATTTTGTTTATATAATTGAAAGGTTGTTGTTTCTATCATGCTGTTGTTGTTTTTATCATATTGTAGATGTTCGTATCATGTTGTTTTTCGTATCATGTTGTCGTCGTCGTCGTTATTGTTGTTGTTGTTATTATTATTGTTTTTGTTGTTGTTGTTGTTGTTGTTGTTGTTGTTGTTGTTGTTGTTGCTGTTCAAATCATCCCAATAACGTTTTGCGGTTCATAAACAGTGATGGTCTCATCAGGTGACTTACAAATTGTTGCAAATATCATCTGCGTTTTGTAGTTGTTGTTATAATGTTCATTGCGTGTGCTCATCATATTCCATCAGTTGATGTTCTTGAGGACTGGTTGGCGCTGCATGTCGCAAGTTAGTTGACGACATGTCGCAAGTTAGTTGACGACATATCGCAAGTTAGTTAACAAATGATGTTGGTGGCGACGATAAGCTTAAAGATGGATGTCTGTCATTCTTGTAAACATCGTTAATTAAAGGTGAATTTCAGCATTTAAACATTATCATTTTCTATTATGATTAACTTTTTTGTGATTTTGTGTTTTAATTCACAACAAATTGCATTAGTCCTTCTCCCTTATAAGCTGGTTGATTACAATCGATGGCTCTGTCACGTTGGAAAAATGAGTTAAAAACGTTTTGTCGATGTTGATAATGTCTTTGTTGTTGTTGATGTTGTTGTTGTTTTTGATGAAGTTGTTCTTTGAAACGTCATTGTCGTTTGCACGGCAATCAATTTGAATGCTGTCGGTTATTTTGCATTTCATTTTGTTGTCATCTAGAGCGATGTTTGTGGCGCTTTTGGTCATCGTTGCTCCGACACCAACGCAGTTTGGAGGATTTTTGCAAAATTTTCCGAGATTAATGATTTCCAACGATTTTTTATCATTCACTCTATCATTCGTTCTTTCTTTCTTCTTCTGTTTTTCATTTGCCATTTCATCAGCACCGACCACAGCCACCTTGCAAATCTTGCTCTTCATCCTGGGACACCAGGTTGAGTGGCGGCAGCAACAGAGGGCGTCGCGGTATCGCTTCATGAATGTGTAGTACAAGAAGAAAGTACCTGAGCGTGGTGTTTGAATGTCGGCATGTTGTTGATAAGGCGTTTTATTGTTGTGTGTATAGGTGTGTGTGGGTGTGTGTGAGTGCTGTCTGTCTGTGTGTGTGTGTGTGTGTGTGTGTGCGCGTGTGCATGGATGTGAGTGTAAACACCAGCTGCAGTACGTGAAAAGTATTAAATGTTGGAACTTTCAAGCAAAAAATAAATATGACCGTCTTATAAAATTATTAGAAAAAATTTGAACATTCTCAACACGCCTACTAAGAGAATTATGTAAGCAAACAACTTACCACTATAAAATGTCAATAAACAATTTAAAAGATCTACAACGTGCGTTGAAATATGAACTGCTTGTTTACCAATTAGGAAGAGTTTGTTTAACAATTACTAACATGCCACTCAAATTCTTCCTCAGTTCTCATTAAAATGAAAAGTAAAAATAATTTTTTATACTTAAAATGTATTGTAAGAAACAATTTCAACATGAACGTTTTACGATGAACATCAAGTTACGGCATCATCTTGTTGAACATTTAATCACAATGAAATACATAATTTCAAAAAAATAATTCCATACACAAAGTGTTTCTTAAAGCTGAAACTGAATAACAGGGAGATCTAACAGCACATAATTGAGATCATGCAACGTTCAAATCTTATTGAGTTTAATTTTACGACTTCCACATTTCAGAATATTTTGAACATTTGCGTTACTTCTTTGATGTAAAATTTTTGTGCAAATATGCAAACTGAACGAAACACTTGCAAGTTCTTTTCCCAAAAAAGTCGTCACTTAATGTTCTGTAATGAATTATGCGTTAATTTTGGCTTAAAAGTCTTTAGATTGTGCTTAGAATGAATACAAATTAAAGATGAAGACTTGAAAAAAAAAAATAATTCTCAGAAAATTACCATAAAAATGTCTTTTTGAGCTTAAAATTCATTTAGTTAAAAAACCAACAAATTTTTTGCTAATTCGAGTGATGTGCAAAACGATATGAACGAAGGAACGTGAACGAATGCCAGCACCGACGTTTCCATGGTTGTTCTTTCCGTGTAATCAGTGTACGTAGATGGGGATGTGTGCATGTGCAAAAGTGTACAAACATACATTATACGTTGGTTTGTTCGTAAATACTGGCTGTGATTTTTTGCGACAGAGCGTGTTTAATATATATAGTCATCGTGTTTGCGTAAGTGAAAATAAAAATGCATGCATAATGGCAGCATTTCCAGGACTTTTTATGCGGTACATCGTGCGTGTGAGGTTCCTCTTTCCATCTGTCATTCACATGTGTCACCACTCTTTGTTTACATGTTCCCAATTTTATTGTCACTTGTTTGCATGCACTTGTTTTGTTTAACTTATTTGTATCTTCATGTGCCGTTGTCATTCATGTTCAAGTTTGTGTTACGTTCTTGTGCATGTTCACGTTTGAGTTCGTGCTTGAGTTCCTGTTCGTGTTTGAGTTTATGTTTGTTTATCTCGATATTAGACTCAGTTGTGAATTTTGTTATTTATATATATTGTAGTGAAAAAATGAAGAAGCTCAACTAAATTGATTACCTCACCCCACAAAAACAAATTTCGCAACATTGGCGACATGTCGTTACATTGTTAGTTATGCTTATGTTGGTTTTAATTGTTATGGTGGTTGTTGGATTAGAGTCAATAATTTCCGTTAAAATGTTATTTGTTGTAACACGAACTTTTCACTCTGGTTGAAATTGTTTTGTTCATACAACGCAATGATGCAGCACGTGAATAAGAATTTTCGTTGATGTAATTTTCAGTGTAACGTTAATGCTTAGCACTCAACTCTTTGATTGTTTTGTAATGAGTGTCATCAGGTGTTACGACGTGATGATTTTTGCCGTGAAACAAATAACAGACAACTGTGGAATGCTTTACAAGAGTGTTTTTTCTTTGGTTATAAAAATTACAAATTATTTTTGAAGATAAAAAAAATCAGTAACCTGAAAAATTGAGGGTGAGAGAAATGTTTGAGATGATGACGACCAGCTCGTAGAGGTGGTTCTCCTTGCTTGAAAATTTGAGAAACATATCCAACCACTTGATGACGAGTGATGGCAAGACAAACACCAAAAAACTTGTGACCATCACAAAAACCATCACGCTTATTTTCGTACAATCGGTATATTTTGTTCGCTGATTATTACGATAGCAACTGAGTGGGGTTCGTTGTTTCTGGGTTTGATGTCTCTTTGCTGGGTCTTCTAATTTCGTTTTATTTTGTTGGCTGGGAAAGTACTTGGACATTTTGCTCTGAACATTTGCGGCCACGTTTGGATCGGAGAGACTTCTGATGTGACTGGTTCTGCAAGAAAAGTCGCTCACCAAACTCGTTCGTGAGCCCGTCAGTGAGGTAAACATTGTTGGCGTGGAAGGTCGGAATTTCGTCGACGAAGATGTCGGCATCCACTTTCCATTGCGTTTTTGTAATAAGATTACAGCCAGTCCAATGTTGCAAGTTGCCAGGACGATGAATGGGATGATGGTGTCGAAGATGCCAAGGAAAACGTAGTAGATGATGTCGAAGCAGTCGTTCACCATGAGATCCCCGTGCACGAGGACGAAATTGAACAAGTAACTTTCAGTTGAGGTCTTGAAATTGTCATCATTTGCTTTTAAAGTAGTTGGAGTGTAGTTTGAAGATTTTGCAGTTGTCACAACTCTGCAATAATCAGCGTGTATTTAAAATATTTTTATTACAAATATACTAAATAATTATCATTTATTTATTATTATTATATTGTTATAAATATCCGAGATAAGATTACACTAGAACTAACTTGGTAAGAAATTTGGAGAAGAGCATGGGACAGTTGAACGAAACGGAAACAATCGTGATGACAGCGCATGAAATGAAACTGTTCCTGGCTTTCAAACATCTTCTCGCTCGTATCGGCTGCCAAACAGCAAAAAATCTTTCAGCAGATGTCACGACGGTGATCCACGTACTGCTGAATATGAAGGTTCCTCGCAACGATTCAATATACAAACACTTCACTTTGTAGAAGTCTGCACGTGTTTGTGTGCGTATGTGTGAGTGTGTGTGTAATTTATAATTTCAATTTTAAAAGATATCCTTTTATAATGTCATTATTTATATTACGTAATAAGTAGGTAATAATAATAAACGACAAATTCAAATTTATTCAAAAATTGAGTAAAATTTTAAAATTAAAAAATTAGGAAACCTGCTCGGTTTTTTTCAGAAAATATTTCTTGTGGAACGTAGAGTATGAGATTCACAAGACAGAAGAGCAGATCTGAAACAGCCAGCGACAACAGCCCTGCGTACGCGGGTCTTTCGAGGGAGGGAGCTGACTTGTTGCGCATCGGTCGGCAGAACGTTTTCAGAAAGACGAACAAACTCAGCGAGTTGCCAGCCAGACCGACGAGCAGGATGACGAGAATGATGTTTTCGTAAGCGTGAATGGCCGTCAAGTAATGGTTGTGGTGCCCCGACATATTGCCACTGAACCATGATGCATTGTAATCGTAATAGTAATCATCGTCCATAGGGACGTAAGTACCTGATGCAGTCTCCATCCTTCTTTATCTTCATTTGATTTTCATCTTTTCAAAATTTTACTATTCTGAGGCATTTTACTTCAACTTCTGCATTAAAGAAAATAACAACTCAATTGATATTTTGAAAAATAAATAAACGATGTATCTTGAAAAACGTTTAAACAGATAACCTGTGGCGGATCTCGACAAATTTGACGGGGAGCCAAGATTTTGAAAAATATTTATCGACTGGGGAAGGGAATTTTCAGAAAAAGTTGACGACCAGGAAGGGAGTTTTCAAAAAAAAAGTCGATGACCGGGAGGAAGTAAATTTGCAAATAAAATTTTATAACCGGGGTGTGGAATTTTCTGAGAAACTTGATTTATATAGTGCTGATTAAAAAAAGTTCTCAAAAGCACTTTCAAAATAGAAATTAAACTGAAACTAACTAAGTTAATAACAAAATAAATCACTGTCATTTTGATAGAAAATAAAAAAGTCATCAATCCTTGATAAAATACAAAACTGTCAATTTGAGGAAAACAGAAATGTCTTGAATTTCTTTTCAAACGAAGAAAGAGAAAATTCTGGACTGACTGCTCAGCGCCATCGGAAGACTCTTCAAAACACCAGGACCAGCAAGAGCAACATCGTGCAGTCCAATCTGTAAATTAGCCTCAAGTTTGACTGACAGGTTCATGCTGTTCGATCTTAAGCCGGTGCTCAGTGCAACTGTCTTGCAAATCAACTTTTTTGATAAATACTCAAATGCCAAACAGGGCATCGAACCGGAACTGAACCGTAACCGTTAAAAGCCAAAATTTTGCTCGGAATAAAAACTGTAACCGAACCAAAATATTGTTTGCTAATTTAACCAAAACCGAAAACCGTAACGAAATAAATAACGGGTCGATGCTAAAAATTAAAAAAATAATATTTTTGTCAAATTCAGAAAAATAATATTTAAAATTTCAAAATTCTATGTTAATTTTTATTACCTTTGAAAATTTGTTATCTCTTTTTTTGTTTGTTTTTTCGACTGAGTTCGCGGATAATTTGAGTAAGAATTGCCACGTGAAGTGAAATCTAGTATAATCTGAGAAATTAGACATCAAGTGCGATCATCTTCCAAATTTTGTAGTACCATCTACACAAGTGAGCCTTGAAGCATCTGTTTCTGGATTATCCTCAGAGACTGCAGAAGTGGTTTCAAGTGGTAATTTTTGAAGATATATTAATAATCATAGGAAATTTTCATCTTTTTTGAAACAATCTTATATTTATGTAGTGATCTCAAAATATCTTTGTAATGATTGTTTTAATTTGTTGAAAAAAATATTAGAAACGTTTCCTTTTATACTGGCAACATTTAAAAATCTTTTATGTTAATCATTTCTTATTATTCACAATCTTAAATTTAATTCAAATTGGCATTGTGGTGATAGTTGGATGTCCGTATGTCCGTTACATGCGTTTAAGTAACTATGCTTGGAAAAATTAAGTTTCGGAGCGAAACCGAAAACCAAAAAAAATCGATATTATTTCAGGAACGAAAACCGGAACCGAACCGAAATTCATTTCGCTGATTGAACCGAAACTGTAAACTGAAACGAAAAAAATTACGGTTCGATGCCCTGGTGCCAAACCATGCAATGAACGAAACACTAGTGTACCAATTATATAGATTATTCTTTTATTGATCTTTAACCAGTGAAGTTCATTCAAAAGCGGTATCACGTGGTCAAATTTCAAACTCTTTATTACTAATTTTGCAGCCCGTTTCTGAATTGATTGAATCACAGCAATCGATAGGTAGCGGATCTAGGGGTGGGTGAGATTTATTATTCGTGTAGACGAAATAAATTTGTAAAAATTCTCCTGGCCGGTCATAAACTATTATTAGAAATTTTCGCCTCCCGGTCGTCAACAACATTACATTTATTTTTTTTAAATATAAAAATTCCCTCCCCCGTCGTGTCAAGTTTTTTGAAAATCTTGTTCCCCCCCCACTGAAAGTTGTAAGTTATTTAGATCCGCCACTGTAATATACACGCATTTACGAGATATAATCAATTTCAAGCGATGAAAATTTGTTATGATGGTTGGAACATGCAGTGAATTAGTGAATAATTAATATTATCAAATGAAAATGTATAAAACAGTGTTTGAGACAAATAAAATTAATTAAAATATATAACCTTATTCACGAAACGCATCTGCACAGAGTGACCTAAAGTTGTTAAATCGCTTCTATTAAATATTTAATTAGTTGGTCATTTTTTTAAATTTATAACATATTTCAAAACACGATATTCTCATTAAAATGCCTTCAAGCTTTTTATATTAAATGCAGTTCGCAGGCTTTTCTGTTGGCTAATTTGGAAATGCGAATTATTGAAATGTTACGTAGAGGAAAATTATAAAATTATTCATATTAAATTAATGGACCACAAATTTAATCAAACACTTCATGAAGTTGAATTCTTCGTTTTTAAATGATTGCAAGGTAATATCAAGCAAGATAACAAATGTATAATAATTTTATAAAATTAGCTTTACTGTTGTAGTCCAAACATCTTTTCAAAATATTCTCATTAAAAATTAGTTTGAAATAATTTATTAATGTTGTAATGAAGTAAAATTTACAATACAATAGAATAAACTCATTTAGAAGAAAAAAAATCTCCGAGAGAAATCTTTTTTATAGTGCATTGACATATGCTTGCATGTTCTAACATACATATGAATATTATATATATATATATATATATATATATATATATATATATATATATATATATATATCATCTATTAAGAATGATATCTACCGTTGTACACATATACATATATAATATCATTATATAATATTATATATATATATATAATATATTATATTATTATATAATATTATATATATAATATATATGAGTGAGTGTGTGTCATAATAATATATAGTAACATGGGGTAAGGGAAAAGTTCGATTAAATCACATTTATGCTATAAAACTGTGAGATTTTTAAAATTCCAGAAAGATCACTCATAGTATTTTATATAAATACATAATTTTAACAAATAAAAACGACCCAATAAAAAATTTTTGCCATTAAAACTTTTTTGATAAAGGGGCTTCTTACCCCAGCATTGGGGTAAGAAGCCTACTGGGAGGCGTTTTACCCCATGTCAATGTCATAGATAGTGTTTAAAAATACATTGGTAAATTTGAATATTCAATCAAATTTATTAAACAAAACTATAAAAACAATGTTAACAAATATTGAAAATATATGATCCTCTTGCTGATTTTCTTTTGTAAGACCGTGGCATTCTGTTAAGTTAAATTAAAAAGTATGACTGTTAAAGTTAAAGTTTAAAAGGAAACCAACAAACAACTGTAAAATTTCATTTTTTAATTTTAAGGATTAAAACAATATCAAATAGTTCTAGTATAAAATTATTCTTTAATTACATTATTTAAAAGGGGGCGTTTTACCCATTTTATAGGGGGGCGTTTTACCCCAAAGTGTATTGTAAAGTTTTTACCGATAATGTGATACGATGGATTAAAATTTCGATTAAAAAAAATCGTGTTAAATAGTGTAAATAATACAAAATTTTATCACTTCAATTTTTTGGGAATAACTTCAGTTTTTGAGAAAAAGCTTTAATGATTATGTTTATATTTGTAACAGATAGCCCTAAAATCCAGGGGCGGACTAAGGCCTAGGCTGACTAGACAATTGCCTAGGGCCCGTAATTTTTGGGGGCCCGGAAATTTGATTTTAACTTTTTTTTAATTTTTATAATTATATTTTTATGTTTTTTTTTTGGTTTTAATAGAAATGCTAAACATTAACATTGAACAAATCTCAAATTCTAAATTTAACAAGAAAGCGCAAATAAACATTTTGAAAAATCGGCAAAAATGAATATCGAATATTTTAAAAATTGCTTTGCAAAATATTTTTTGGATTCATTTTCTGGAATTCCTACAAAAAAATGTTGGTTTTTATAAAAGTATTAAATTATTCACTTTTCAATTTTTATAATTAAATGCTCATTGGTTCTTTGTTGCTGGACGAAATAATGAACATTGAACTAATCTCGTGTTATAAATTTGAAAAAAGCCCGTTTTCTGCCATTTTGAAAAATCGTCAAAGTTGAATATCGGTCATTTATAAAATTGCTTTGTCAATAGATTTTGATTTGTTTAGTTTTTAGTTTTGGATTGATAGTTAATAATTTCTGGAATTCGTTAATTTAAAATGTGAGTTTTGTGGAAATATTACATTACATTATTCAATTGATACTGATATCTGAAGATTACTCACAAGAAGGGCTTTATAAATCAGTAATAACTACAAATTGTGATTTTATTATAATTGAGTAAAAATAATGTTAATTGATTTTTTTATTTTTAGTTGCAAAACAAATGAAAGGATCGTTAAACAAATTTTTAATTGTGGAGGACGAAAAATCACAACAATCATCATCATTTTCACAAATTTTACTTGCTCAAACTCCAGAAGCATCACACGAATGTGAATCTATTCAGCAGAAATATCAGCGGGAAAAACTGAGTAATTCCGATTGTGAAGATGAAGCAAAATAAGATATATATATTAAATCATCTGTAAGTAATGATGAAACTGAGAGTTTTGTAAACGACATTGCTTTATGGCCAGAATATCTAACAGACGCCATGCTAGAGTATTATGTCAAAAATCCACCATAATCGATAAATAGATCTCTAGAATCATCTTCATTCGATGCAACGAAGGGTCAAAACAATTCACAAGAAAATTAACTATCGCTTCCTTCTTCAGAACAATTAATAGTGAAGAAAAAGTTAAAAGAGATTGGCTGGCTTATACTTAAACCAACAACTTATTGTACCGTTACGTCTGTAAATTATTTTCCAAGCAAACAACACTAATGGCAAAAGGTACGAATGATTGGAAAAATATCCATAAAAAATTGTCAGAGCATGAAATCTCCAGCGACCACATTAACTCAATTTTAATTTATATAAAAAGATCTAAAATTACTGGGCGTATTGATACTGAATTGGAAAAACAAATTATGAATGAAAAAAAATACTGGATGGAGGTACTTAAACGTGTGGTAGCAACAATCAAATTTATTTCTTCTTACTCTTTAGCATTTTGTGGTAAAAATGAAGTTCTTTTTAGTGAAAATAATGGTAATTATATAAATGCTTTAGAATATTTATCCGAGTGTGATCCATTTTTGCGTGAACACATGAAAAGATATGCAAATTGCGGCACCAGAACTATAAGTTATTTGTCATCTAACATATGTGATGAATTTATTTTGATTATATCGAAAGATTTGCAACTCACGATACTGAACGAAATAAAGGAAGCTAAATTTTATTCTCTAATTATTGATTCAACCCCTGATGTATCTCATGTAGATTAGCTTACTGTTATTATTCGGTACGTTCTTCCAAGTGGTATAAAAGAAAGATTTTGGGATTTCTACTTATATTTTCTCATACTGGTGATAACTTGGAAAAAGTTATTTTAGAATTTTTAAATAGCATTGATTTAGACATCACTAATTGTCGAGGACAAAGTTATGATAACGCATTTAATGTCAGGTAAATATAAGGGACTCTAATCCAGAATAAAATAACATATTTTTTCTGCTCATTTCATACCATGCTCAAATCATTCATTAAATTTAATTGGAAATGCTGCTGCCGAAAGTTGCATGGAAATAACAACTTTTTTCAATATCGTTCAAGAATTGTACGTATTTTTTTCAAGTTCTACACATAGGTGGAATGAATTAAAAAAATTTTGTAAGAGCAAGCACTTGAATATTAAACCTGTTTGTGACACCAGATGGTTAGCTCGTTCCGATGCTGTAAAAGCCTTGAAGGAAAATTATGACGAAATTAAACATTGTTTACGCCATTTTTCCTCAAACAATGATGAGAAACCATTAACAAGATCAGAAGCTGCCGATTTATACAAAAAACTTGATACATTTGAGTATGTACTGTTACTTACTACATGGGAAAAATTTTTAGAAAGAATAGATGCTTCAAACAAGACTCTTCAGCAAAAAGACGAATCTTTAAATACAGAAGTTCTAATTTATGATTCGCTAATAGATTTCATACAAACTGTTAGAGACGATTTTGATCATTTAGAAAAAGAAGCAGAAAAAGTTAAAGATATTGCATATATTAATGATAAAAAGCGACAGAAAATACGAAAACTATTTCATGATGAAACTCCAGAACTTGAAAAAAGACTCAGTGGCAAAGAACATTTTAAAGTGAATATTTTTTTGTTGTATGCGATTCTTTAATTAGCAACATTAAGAAAAGATGTGAAGCATACAAAACTATTAATAATAAATTTAAAACAATTTTTTATGACTGTGATATCAATGACTCTTCATTACAGGAATTAAAATGTTATGAACAAGATTTAAACCTAGAAGAACTGAAAAACGATAGTTCAATTTAAGACTTTTATAAGTAAAGAAAATATTATTTCGCTTTCGCCTGTATCCATGTGGTCATTTATTCAGGAAAATAATATTAATGCAACATTTCCTAATTTAAATGCAATTCTGAGAATTTATTTAACCCTTCCAGTAAGCAATGCAAGTGGTGAAAGATCATTTTCAGTAATGGGTAGAATAAAGAATTTTTTAAGATCCACGTTGGGCCAACAAAAATTAAATAGCTTAAATACTTTACATAGAAATACTTAAAATTAAATACTTTATATAGAAAAAGAGTTGTTGAATAATTCTATTAACTATGACAAACTAATTGACGAGTTTGCAGAACTGAAAGTGAGAAAAAAGGCAATTATATAGATATATCAGTCTTGGTGTATTTATATTACTGTTTTAATAAATTACGTTTATGTTTGTTTTTTTTAATAAATGATGTTTCTTTAGTTTGAGTACATTTTTTTAAAATTTTGGTAACTGATTTACATACCATATTCATTAAAACCAAACTATCGAACGTAAAGTATTTGTCATTACTGAAAAATAGGCCCGGAATTCCAATGTTGCCTAGGGCCCGCTTTAGGCTTAGTCCGCCACTGCTAAAATCTTAAACTTTCATTAATTATCAACCTAAACAACGCGCGGCTTTCACAACACAGACCATTTAATTACATAGATAATCTAATATTATGGCAGTTAAAAAAAATTTGCAGCACAATAATTTCGCTCAACATGGACGGGAGGCCGGGTTCGATTCGATTATGCGCCCCACTTATCGAATGCATCGTGCTTGATGCGTCGTTTAGCATGTATTCATATACGATGTGTTGCATGTTGTTGAATCCTTTGAACCTAGGAAGAGTGTAATAGAGCTTTTTTGTCGTTCAATCAATCAATCAATTAGTTTATGAAGCGCTATTTCCGCGATGTTCAACAGCGCTCCTCAATGAATTTTGAAAACAGATGGGTCTTGAGATCCGCTCTGAACTTCGCAAGTGATGGAGAAGTAGTCAGAGAAGTGGGTACTGGGTTCCAGAGCAAAGGACCAGAAAAAGCAAAAGCATATTTGGCAAAAGAGTGGCGTTTCAGCACGGTTACCGACAATGAATTTTTGAATTGATTGATTTATTTTAATTTATTTAATTAACTTGTTTAAAACTATAACATTTTAACATAATATGTTTAAAACTTGTTGTTGGATCAACTATATCGAATTCTAATAGATTATCTTTGTTTAAAAACAAAACATCGGTTTAATGTTAAATTTGTTTCCATAGAGACGGCTTTTTAATTATTTTGTGGTTTCTGCACTTCGCTAAATATTTTTATTTGGTGATTTCCTATCGATCACCATCATGGAAAAGGACGAGGAAACAAGATATATTCTCAAAAAGTTGATATACACGGATTACGAGCGCTATCAAAATGAACCTCCAGTTTTAAAAAAGGTTGGTGCTCTTCATTATTTATTTTTATTTTTTATTGTTAATTTAATTAATTTAATAATATAAATTATAAATTTAAGATGGAAAGATAAGTTATTATTGTTTATCACTATTATTATATTATATAAATATAAAAATAGAACAATTTACTAACTATCTTGGTTTCAAACACATTTATAAAAAGAATTCTATTTATTAATTAATATTTTATTTCTTATATTATTAATTTTCATTTTTTAAATAGCCAGAGTATCATAAAGCAAAAATTTCTATCTGGTTTGTAAATTAATGCTATCTACAGTTATTTGATATTTTATTTTTATTTAAAACCTTTTGCTTTCATTTATTCTGCAACGAAATTAACCTCAAATGCTAATTCTACTTAGTCACTTTTACTTAGTTTTCATTTTATCATTGTACAAAATGTACAAATATTTTAAGGGCCGATTTGAAATATGAAAATGTTGAAGTGTTGAACTCAGCCACGACTGTTGAAGAATTACAAAAGTTTGTTTTCTCTACTGTTTGATTGATTGAAAATTATATTCAAAAACAATTATATTCAATCTTCAGCTTATTATCAACATTTTACGATTTGGAAGACTACAAGGAGAACAAAAGAAGTGCAATTTTAATTGATTTCTACACATACTTATTGCAGTTTGCGAAGGAAAATTGTTTTAACATTGAACAAACATCTGCATTCTTTTCCATTCTTAAACAAACAAACGATATCTGTATAGGTTAGTTTAGTTTAGTCTTCAAGTACTATTAATTAACTTTATTTAAAGTTTATCCAATGTTTTTGGTAGAAACACCTTTTATGAATTTTGAACATTGTTTCAACTTCTTCAAAGAAATGTTGATTTGCCACACTGTTCGAGTAAATTTGTTTTTTCATTTTTATTTTACAAATTCATACAGCTTTAACACTAAAATCAGTTTATAACTTATTTAATTTAGAGACCACCGTTTAGCATTGATCTGTTTAGTATGCATGATGCAAAAAAAATAATGGAGTACGGAATAAATTCTTATTTCAGACATTTCAAACTTTATAAATATGTCTTCACCCCAAAGGTTCACAACTCTTATTTTCTTTTTGTTCATTTGATTTTAAAAATCCCTATTTTAGTTTTAAAAGCTGAATTATTATTTCATTAAATGGCGCAGGTGACACTAGATTTGAAAATGGTTTACAATGGTATGCCTCTGACTCCTCCTACTGAGTTACGTAGGTTTTTTGGGGGGAAGGGGGGATCATCTCCTGTGGTCATTCATCACAATATTTTTTTTTAAATTAAATTGTTTTCATAAATTGGTTTAAAGCTGCTATACGCATGGTTACTTGAGTAAAACACTCAAATACAAGTTCATAACGGCAGTCATCGTGCATTTGCAAAAATCACCCAAAATCAAAATCAAAAACAGCTTTTCAATAAAAAAAAGTGTTTGTTGTTAGTATGTGAATTTAGTTGGAATTGAAATTTGCGTTCATTCTCTCATAAAAAGAAGAGATTAGTCTTAAAACCACATGACATGTTCGCAGTCGTACACTCAAAACTGCAATTCGGATGCTTCTTGTTAAGCGGTCTGCGAAATATAATAATATGCAAACCCTTTTCAATTTGGTTGCGTACTTATCCCAGATAAGCACCTAGATTTTACCGGGTCTATCGCCATTCACCTCATAACCAATCACATGTATTATAAAACTTCAAACATTTCTATCTTAACGTATTAAATAGAAAATAACCATATTACTGCATTGAGTAGACGTCTAAGCGATTACGTTTCTTTAAAAATGATAATTAAAAATCTTTTCAATCTTTCCAAGCCCACGAGTTGCAGTGCAATGAAGATGAGGTACAAGAACACAGTGCTGACCAGGCAGCCAACGAGAATGAACATCCATGTAATTTTTTTTCCTATTGCTTCGTTAATTAATATGCTCCAATAATAGCATTAAATTAATTTATTCTTTTTTAAAATTTAAACTTACGCTTATGTTTCTATACTAGTTTCTGTATTTGTTCAAGTTCATTAGTAAGATAATGTCGGTATTCCAAAGTTCTTGTTGATATGCTAAATAATGATCTTCTTAATACTTATTCTTTGCCATAAAAAATGTTGATGTTGTACGGTATAAAAACGTAAGGCCAGATGCATGTTAAGAAAGAAATTGCAATAACGCAATATGGTTGTTGAAGTGTAGTATCTTATTACTTTTTATTTGTCATCCGAGCCAATAAGCTAACAAACATATTATTTTTATACGAATTGAAAGGTGTACCAAATGAACTGAAGGACTTCATACGAAGTTATTTAACGAAGGAATTGAACGAACTGAAAGCGAACTTCGACAAACAACTACAGCAGACCGAGGAAGAAGTCTCCAGGCGACTCAACTTCAAAAGGGCCGCCTCACCATCTAAACTCGAGAAACCAACAAACAAAACTAAAGAAAAGAAACAAAAATAATGGAAAGCTGATTCAATAATAACGATTTCATAATTATTTCGCGAATTTAAACTTAAACAATTTTAAATGTCACAGTAAAAAGTATGAAATGGTACGTGTTCTTAATGCAAAATAATTTGAAAACATTACTAAAAATGTTAACACAGAAAACTCTTGTTAATTATAATAAAACAGCAGAAGCTAACATCTAGCTCCGCAGCTTAATACAGATGAGCACTGTATAACATACATAATGTAACATAGTGTACCAATGTTTACAAACCGATCCCATACAAATAAGCATCTTATAGTTTGCAATAGAGCACATGTAATTGTATACATATATATATATTATACTAATAAATATATATTTATTTATTTATCTATATATAGACAGACTTTATATGAATACATATATCAACTTAATAACTTGTTTAGTCCTTTGTATTATTTCGTGTGCACACCACACAAACGTATTATCATTTTCTGAATTCACTTCAACATCACTACCAACATTTTGTTTTGGATGTGCAAATGTAACAATTCGCATCCAGGAGAGATAGAAGTTCTTACAATCATCTTATAATAAAACGTTTTCAAGTTTTCATGCGTAACTTCTTTGGCAACCTCAGAAAATCTCGGCAGGCAATTTGTCGAAATGTCGGAAAATAATGCTAACAGCAGCAACGCGAACGTGCATAACCTCCTCAGACCGGTAATTAATTTTTGTCTTGAAATCATAATATATATATATATATGTGTTAAATAATTTTCGTTGCTACACTTGCTAGACCAGATATACAGATCGATTAGACAAAATGATCAACTAGATTGCAACTGGTTCTAAATCAATCGATGAATAAATAAATGTTTAATTAACTTGTACTTATAACAAAACTAAATTAGCACGCACAATAATGATACATTTGACGTAAGCATTTTACAATCATAACCATGATATAGTTCGCCAGACTGGATTTACAGCCAAATACTCCGCAAATATCTAATAACGTCCAACCAACACCTGAAAAAAGACAAATGCGTGAGTTCTAACAATTTCATTTATATCGTATAGAAATTTAATTTTCGGGCGAAAGTTTAGCTATTTGTTAATTCGGAATGATTTTCGCGCCAAAAAATTTCACTTGTCAAGAACGCTCAATCAATATAGAAAATGAATACCTATTCTTCAGCTGGACAGACATGCTATTTTACAAACCCTGTAATCCCGGTTTCGCCGACGCAGATATCCAACCCAATTTATCCACAGTACGTCGAAGTTCCACAAGTTTATCCTGTCATAATACAAGGTAGATTCATGTATAATTTATATTTCATTATTATGACTATTATTGAATTTGACAAGTTTATATGAAGACTATCAAAAATTTCATATGCTGTGTTGGTATATATTGGAAATTTTCAAGTAAGTTTAAGAAAAGAAAGTGTCTTTTCAATTTCTTTTAATTCTGAATGTCAAACATAAAGGACCAAAAGTAAGTCGGTTGATTGATATGCAAATTGTTCCAAACAGATGGTCCAACAAATTACAAAATTTCTACTAATTTAGAGGGAGATGCAGCAAGATAATAAAGTTCACATTATCTGCAAAGAATCTGTCAGTGTTCACAAGTTTAGAAAGGGCTTGTTACACACATAACCTTCAAATAATCCAGTGCTAAGCCATCCAAATGTTTGAACATAAATATAACAATATTAAAAATGTTATTAATAATTTATAGAAAGTAATAACAACTGCACAATTTTAAATCAATTGCAGCATGGGAATGGATTTCTGTGACATTTGACAATATGTAAAACAGATTGTATCAATAACCTTGGAGTGCTTGGATGACACACACACACACACACACACACACACACACACACACACACACACACACACACACACACACATATATATATATATATATATACATATATATATACATATATATATATATATATATACATATATATACATATATATATATATATATATATATATATATATATATACATATACATATATAATTGTGTGCGCATGTGTGGGGTGATAATATTCCGTTTTAATATGCTGTGTCAATTTAAATTATAATAACAGAAAAAACTAATTAACAAAAACGACATTAATTAAGATACAGGTTACGTGTTAACACCGGCATTCTCATACCAACAAAACAGTCCATATACTGTTTTGAACAATGCACAATTACAGCCTGCACAGAACTTTCAAACTGTTCCAGATCTGGTTCTGCCCAACAATGGTGCTCATACTCCCACAAGTATTAAACTTTTTAATGACAACCACCTGAAAATATCATGTATAATTTTTATGAGACTTAAACTATCATTTCTAACTAAACGAATCATTGTTACTTCTCTACAAAGTGATTGTTAATGAATGTTTGAGTCAAAATACCAACTTGATTTCTTGGTCAACAACGTCTCATAAATGTATTGCATGATATATTCGGGGTGTTTTCACAACTTTTGAAATTAATAGAATTCTAAACCTAAAAAAAATTTCACGTAGAAATGCTGAACTGTTCATCAATACCTAGAATGCAACAGCCCCAAACAATTAAACCAAGTATTTTTTATAATTTCCAAATTTATAAAAAATATTTCCTCAAATTTTAATTATTAAGTGTCCAAGTATGAACAGCAAGGAATCACTTACGGTAGCCTGCCAAGAGGTGCTTCTGGAAACCTTGAAAAAATTTATGAAATTCAAGACGATAACAACTTTATTAAAAAAACTGAGTTTGTATAATGAATTTAAATTCAAATGAATGTTTTGTAAATGTTAAATATAATATAAATTTGCAGTCCCATGAGTCAAAGTTGGAACTTTACAAACTCAGATTTCAATAGTCCTAGAAAAAATAATTTCAACAATAAGTTTTTTGAAAGTGGAAAAAGATTTCAATATAACAAAAAATATGAAACAAGAAAGCCAAGCCATGAACGAAATGCTTATTCGAACAAAAGGTTTGTATTAGTATTACAATCGTCAATGCAAATGTAATTGTAGTCAACGTAAAAATATTCGATTGAATGCGGCAGTGGCAGTCACAGAAATCCAGCCAATGATAACAGCAGGAGTTGGAGTGCAGACAGGAGTGGTAGGTTCAACTTATCAAGGAGAGGTTCTGAAGAATGGGACAACAGGTCACAATCAAACATGGGAAATAAAATTCCTAGAGGTTTCTATCACTATTGTTATATTATAATTAATTGCTCTTTACGTTAATCATTTATTTTTGAATAAATATATTAATATTCAATCTTCTTTCTTTTAGCACATTCAAAATTTTGTAAAATGAGTTTTTGAGACAATTTTGTGGTAACATGTTAGTTTTTTATGAATATTTGACAAGAAATGTGATAGTTGAAGTCTAAGTTTCTGCAAATTTGCATCCGCAGCTGTTTGCATATTTTCAGCATATAAAATTGAATGCTCGTGTTGTAATCATTCAATTAAAGTGCGTTCATTTAGATCTCATCTTGACGAAATGATGGAGAATTTCTTGAACACACCTTTATTCTGCCTATGATTACAAAATTCTAATTTAGATGATTTTAAAATATTTTAATTGTAACTGAATGAGTAGTTCATGTACGTGCATTGTAACATATAATATTGTTCATAAAAAATACATGAAAATCATTTTACTAAGAAAAGTGTGAGGCGATCGAAATTAAATTTTGTACCACTAACCCAAGAGACTAATTTCATATTACTACCTTGCACAATTAATAATTTGAACATGATAGGGTATGGAAGTTTGAGGAACTGGAATTCGTACAACGACTGGAACCACTCTGCTTCGTCTCAGGACTGGAGGTCGTCACAGGAGTTCAATGACTCGGAGGATGATCGGCACAGTGACAACATGGAAAGAAGGAGGGGACACGCTTACAACATTCACCCTGCTGCTGCTGCCAGGTGGAAGGGATCCAATGGCAATCTAAGGTTTTTGGAAAATAAAAAATTCGATCTCTATTAACTGATGTTATTATTATTATTTATTTTTCTGAATTAATTCTCAGAGATATCAACAACACACAGCGCCTGTGAATGCACGTGGCTCTATAACGCATGCACGCAATAGGCGAGGATTCGTTTGCATTTAAACGCAGTCACCACAACAGCAGGACCCTAAACTAGGCACCTTAACCATTTACCCATTATTAAACGTTATACCCATTTCATCAGGAGAGATGGAAGTATGAAAAATACGTACCACAGAAAGAAGACATTTCACAACCAGAAGCAGCAACAACACCGCACGTTATCTCAAGACAATCTTTTGAAAGTAAGAGACCCAAGTGAAAGAGAGAGTGCAAAGAACAACAAATCGTTGGATCAGTCGATTGTGAGTGCTTCGAAGGAGATTTGTGACAGGTGGGGCGACTCGGGCGGCATTGGAGAGTGGGGGTTGGAGATGGATCGAGAGTTGGAGCAAGGAGCAGAATTGAAAAGAATGGTTGGATTTGATTACACAAAATTAACCCCCAGGAACGAAAAGGTTGAACAGTAAGTGTTTTTTATTATGCATCAAATTTTAATTGTTCCAAAATAGGAACATTTATAAAACTAATTCACTTATCATTTTATCAACTTTTATAAGTTAATTGAACGGGATGTTGACATTTTACAAATTGGTAAGATGAGTTGTAACAAAATTACACTACAATAAACAATTATTTTGATACTAACACTGAACCAATTTCCCTTTAAACTCTAAAGTGAATATTCATGTCATGTCGTATTTTTTAATTATCTAAGTTTTTTAAATAAAAATTAATGATTGAATAATGTATTCAATAAAATCATCACCAACGTTTTTTTTACTACTCATAGTGAGTTGTTTAAAGCCAACAACAGTGGAATTAATTTTGCCAAATATGAAGATATTCCCGTAGAAACCAGTGGAAACAATTGCCCTCCAAACATTGAGTCGGTCAGTTGTTCAGGTTTTTATTAACCAATGTTTAAAAAGTACATTTTTCTATACTTTTGTGCTCCATAACGTTCTCACTACATCTTGATATCCGGCCCCACCCGGCTAACAACTAGACTAATTATGAGCAAAAACTTGAAAGATTATTAATTTTTACAATGGCACAATAAGCCTTGTTGTTCTTTGATTAGACTGCATGTATCATGAAATTTTAAGTGATTTGTCTTGTTAGTTTTTGTGTTTCATGTGTCTTTTTTTTTCAATTGATCAAATTTATATAGCCCAACATAAATAATGCACAACACAGAACACCTGTCCACAAAATAGTTTTGATTTTGTTTCTTTTTGTTCTGTTTAGAAAAAATAAATTCCAAAATTTGGCCACACCTCTTACTATTGAACATTTATTTCATAACAGTAAGCTGTACCCATATTTCCTCTTTGTTTAATTCATTATTTATTTAGTGATGAACGTTGTCCATCTTCAGTTTTCAGATATCAATTTTGGAGAGATAGTGAATAACAACATAAAGCTGTGTAAATATACCCACCCAACACCAATCCAGAAATATGCGGTGCCTGTCATACTAGCCAAGAGAGATATAATGGGGTGTGCCCAAACTGGTTTGTCGTTACCACTACTCATTCTGTAATCAAATTAGAAATGTGCAATAATTTTGTCTTGAATAACACTATTATTTTGATCTTTACTGCATTTCATTTTATGTCGCATTTTAAAATGTTTATTGACCTTGGTTACACTTACACACACACGCACACAATGGATTTTAAATGCTACTCAATCAGGCTCAGGAAAAACAGCCGCATATCTCCTGCCTCTATTCAGCAACATCATCGAAACTGGAGAATTTATTATGTCGAAATTTGTTAGTGCTGATAATTTTTTGCAACTTCATTCACTATGCATGTTACAAAATATGTTTCAATGTTGTCACTTAAGTTAACTGTTTCAAAAACTTGTTATTATAAGAATCAATTGCAATGTGAACGGCAGATAGATAACAGCAGATATGGAAGAAACAGACAGCATCCTTGTGCACTTGTGCTCACACCAACCAGAGAGTTGGCATGCCAAGTTTTCGATGAAGCTAAAAAAGTTAAATTAATTTTCCCCAAATTTCTAAACTTTTCAAACGTGTGCATGCACACTAGTTACTCAAAACAATTACTTCAGGAATGCATTTTGCTTACAGTGAATTGTAATATTTAAATTATTTTTTAACTTACAACTATGAATAAGTAAAAAAAATATAAATATAAATTTATGTAACACGATTATTTTTGTGTGTAATGTTATATAGAACGCAGAGTTAGATTCAGTTTTATAGCTTTATTTTTCTATTTATAGTTTCAATACAATGTCTGTCAGGTTCACTCAGCTGGATTGATTATATGAATGAGTAACAATAAAAAAAATGGTTTCTTTCTATCTTTTCAGTTTCTGTATCGTTCACGAGTGCAGCCGTGTGTAATTTACGGTGGGGCAGATGCAGGCACACAGATAAGGGAAATATCAAGGGGCTGCCACGTTCTGATCGCTACTCCCGGAAGGTTGATTGATCTTCTGGAGAGAGGGCTTGTGGGGCTGGATGCTATCAAGTAGGCGTTTTATTCATTGTTTGCATCTTTGTGTTAACTCAATTTTGTTATTTTATTATTTTTAAATTTTTATAATTAAGTTTGATTTTTTCTTTTATTGTTTGCATTTTACTTTTCATTAATTTTCTGGCAATGTGGTTTAATTTTTATCTGAAAAAATTCATAATGGCATTGAATTTGTTATCGCCTAAATTGTCGTTTAATTACAAAGTACATTGATGCGTTTAAGATATTTGGTGTTGGACGAGGCTGATCGAATGCTGGATATGGGCTTTGAACCGCAAATCCGAAGAATTGTTGTGGAAGACGATATGCCGCAAACTGGAAGGAGACAGACGTTAATGTTTAGTGCCACATTTCCCAAGGAGATTCAGGTATATATAATTGTTTGAAAAAATTTATCGATATAATATTGAAATACATTTAATATACAGATGTTAGCAAATGAGTTTCTACACGATTACATCTTCCTAGCTGTTGGTCGTGTCGGGAGCACAAGTGAAAACATCACTCAGAAGGTTTTATGGGTTGATGAGGAAGAAAAAAGAGCTTTCCTTAAAGAGCTGCTTGATGCTATGGGTAATTATTCTTTGCTGCGTCTGCGTTAATTGTTGACAATTAGGATTATTCATTTGTTTAATGAACTCGATTTTTGGTAGTTTTAGTTCTCAATTTTGTGTTTGTAGAATAATATAAAATCTGGCTGAACTTCATGAAAATTATTTCTATGTAAATTAAAAAAAATGTAAGTGTCACCAACTTGACTTGGATCAGCATAAAATTTTAGTGTAAGATTTGAACCACAACATTTGAGTTTTTAAACTCGGATTTTAAAAAGTTGTAGAAAATAATTATAATTTTTATCTTTCAGGACCAAACAGCCTTACGTTGATTTTTGTGGAGACCAAGAAAGGTGCTGACTCATTGGAGTTTTATTTGTATAAAGAAGGATACATGGTGACGAGCATTCATGGTGACAGAATTCAGAAAGAGAGAGAAGAGGCACTGAAATCCTTCAAATGTGGAAAACGGCCAATTCTTGTAGCTACAGCAGTTAGATCATTTACACTTCTATCGACAATCCAAATGAACTGCTCTTTTAAAATGAGCCATTGTGTGCGCGTATATGCTCTGTAAATTGAAATAAAAATAATAAGAATCAAATTAACGTTAATTTTTGAAAATCCACAGCTACGTTAGATTTTTGGTTTTCAAATTTGTTTTAATTTTCGTTGAAAAACACTAGTAAATTAGAGAATTTATATTTCAAGATTTCAAGCAGGTATTTAGCCGCTTGAAATCATAAAATTCTGAAATTTTTATTTTTGAATTCATCATTCATCATTCGGAAGTAATTTTTCAAAATATTACTTTGAATCAACCGAGCGCAATTTATTTTTATCCCGACTACAAAGTTATAGCGACGGGTTCCCGGAACTTTGCGGTTCTGGCCGGTTGTTTGGAATGGTTTACCTCCTTACTTCAATGATCCTCTGTAATCCTTTAAAGGACCGTTGAGGCCGATGGTATTCTTCTATCTCTCCAAAATCCTTTTCTTTCCCTCGCCATCTTCATTGAGCCCAATGTTCCAACCCCCGTCCATTCCGTGATATCATTCATCCACTTCCTCACAGGTCTTCCAACTTTTTTCTTCCAGTCCCTCTTTCTCATCAGTATTTTTTTGATCAGTCTGTCGTCTGTCATTCTGCAGATGTGCCCTTACTTACCTCCTTACTTACGTGACCCTAACCTATCATATTTACAATTTCGAAGTCAGCTTAAAACTTATTTATTTGCGCAATGAACGTCCGTCTTATTTGTCTATGATTCAGTAGCGCTTTTGAGTTTCAACAATTAAAAAGCGCTGTATATAAATTTCCGTAATAATAATAATAGTTATTGTGTGTTTTAGATGATACGCATGTAAATTTATCATTTTATCTTATATATATATATAAATATATAATAAAAAAATATATTATATATATAATAATTATTATAAGATGATTTTGATGTTTCACTTTTTTATTTATTTAATTCAAAGAATGAGCAATTGATCGGCAGGTGGCAGCTAGGGGTTTGGACATAGCAAACGTGAAACATGTCATCAACTACGACCTGCCAACTGACATTGAAGAATATGTTCATCGCATTGGTCGAACGGGCAGAGTTGGAAACCTAGGTTCCAAATTCAACTTAATAATATCTTAATTCGTTTTTATTGACATTAAAATTTATCTTCAAGGATTGGCTACATCATTTTTTAACGACAAAAACACATCACTTGCTTATGATTTGTTTGAAATACTTGCTGAATCTAAACAAGAAATTCCTGAGTGGCTAGAAAATTTGGCGTATGAATCGAAGAGATATAATGGGGTACCGAAAAAACATAAAAGGTGGTATTATTTGCAAACTTGAATAAAATAATTTGATTATTATTATAATTCGAAAAGTAGTGTTTTTGAAAGTAAATTGGACATTATAGGCCCACCAGCAGAAAAATTAACCAACCCCTCGTCAAAATGTTGGTCCTCCCGTGAGCACAGTACAATTTTTATAATTCCCCCTGTCATCAAGTCTGTGTTTAAAATTCTCCCACCCACCCCGATCATCGGCTATTTTTTTGGAAATTCCTCCCCAGCCGTAAACTTTTTTCTAAAATTCTCCTCCCGTCGTTAAATATTTTTCAAAATCTTGGCTCCCCCTCCCCGTCCAATTTGTCTAGATCCGCCACTGGATGGCTTGTTTGTTTTTAGACTTGCCACTGTTTTATCAAGATATGTCAAGCCAGTCTCAGTGAATGTGAATAGATGTTCTTTTTTAAATAATTTGCTTAACTGTGCCTTTTAATTTTGTTTTATTCACTTTGAATATTTCTTTGAATTGTGCTACTTAATATTTTTGTATTCACTTTATTTAGGTTTGGGGTGACTGATTCCAGAGATTACCGACAACACGTCAAACATCACAAAAGGAACAGTTCCAATCCAAACTTCAAATATTAAATTGTTCAATATTTTTTACTTTTCACAATAATGTAGTAGGTATGTTTTGCTTGCAATTTCTTTTAGTTATATTCAAAAAATTTTCGTGTAATCTCTAAATATCCAGTCAGTTTTGCAGTTTTATTATCTGAAGAGTGCTTTACTTTTTCTGTTTTTATAAGCTTTCCTATTAGCTATGTATAGCTATGTTTGATATATGGACTAGTGTTTTCAGTTATGATTAGACCTTCTTGAGTGGTCATTTAGTACATTAGTGATATCAACATTATCCATAAGACTGATATCAATAACCCTCGAGACAGTGCATACCATGATGAAAACAAACATATTAATGGGTAGCCGCCGTAAATAATGCTTTGTGCTTCTTGAACTGCATGGCCTCTACATATGTAACCAGTTCTCTAACTAAAAATTAAGCCTGTATATAAAATAGAAAAGAGCATGATACAATAGGCACGCAGGTGTGCTAGTTTGACGGAGTGATCAGGCAGGCGCATCGACAACAGCATATCAAGCAAATGTGATATATTTATAATTTTTGTTGTGACTGTCTTGTATAGCATAAATTCATTCTCTGTTTCGCCAAATCTATTTTTGTGCAATTTATTACTAATTACCAATATTGCAATCTCATTTTAAACATTCCTGTTTACAATGTGATGGTACTCGTACCACGTGAATAAAGACAATATTTTTACTGACATGAGCATCTTACAAATACATAGGCAGTTGCATAAATTGGAGGACTTGTGAAAAATGAAAAGTTGTGTTTTGTACATAATGAACAACTTGGTGGCCGTGCAGTTACCTCCATTTTGATGACATTTCGAACATGCACTGTCTCGAACGGCTAGTTTTTTAACCTTTCAAACTATTTTTTCATCTCAAGATTCTAGTGGGCTGTTCGTTTGCCTGTGTTTGTTGTTTTATATGCCTTAAAAATTTTTTACTGACTAACCTGTAGAGCGTCAACAAAAACAGGCACACGAGCTCATTAGTTTCTTGAACCAAGCGAACAGCTAGTCGTTTTCATATTTTTGTTTCAGTTTCTATTGAAACATTCACACTCAAGAAGGCAGCCTAGTATTTATATTCTACAAAATATTTTGCCTTATTGTGTATTATTTTTTTAAAGAATTTTTTAATAATCACAATTTTCAATAGAATTTAATACAATATTTTTTGTGATGATGAACAAAAGTTTTATTAAATTGTAAAGTACATAGTTAATTCCTTATTATTTTTAGAACATGATGTAACATATGAGCACACATCATACATAACATATCGTTTTAACTTGTACGATCGTCAAGATATTCGATCTACCGTAGGTTCACTGATTTTTAATAGATAAACGCGACTGCTCCATACGTTTTCTTTGTCTATCAATGTACACACGTTTCGGATAGCAAATCAAAGGTTTTTCGGCAGTTGAGTTACGTTTTGGCCGATATAAAATAATGCCTAATGAGCGCGGTTATCCGTTTAGGGACGACAGGCACGAACAATTTAAGGTCATCCCTTTTTGCTCCCTCCTCTGTTTGAAGTAAGCAGGGCGACCGGAAAAATGAGCCTTAATCAGGCATTCGGGTTTCAGGCAGTGCAGCCACTTTGGCAGCTGCCGAGAAACTTTGTACGTTCCAGTTTAAACTTTGACGACCATCCCACCCGAACAAACCAGGTGCCAATCACAGATTAGAGGCTTCCAGTCTCATTCTAAACCTGTTCCCGTCAACTGTGAATTATTGGCGATCGTCGTAGTAGTCATTTGTTAAAAGATAGAAGTATGCAAAAAATACTCAAATAAATATTTGTGTTGCATATGTTTTAGTCCACAACCTTTGCTATATGTCAACTGAACGTAGTGGCATGAAAAAATGCTTCAATAAAACTAGAGAAGACCGCAGCTGCAAAAACCTGCCGGAACCTTCAAGATAGGTAGAAATGGTTAGGAAAAAGCAAAAATTATAAAAATAAATGAATAGTTAAATTAAAAAAATTAAATCAAAAGAAAGAAATATACATGTTTATAGATCTGCTTCTGTTTCTTCCTAATTTTTAGAAATTTTCCTGCGGTTATGGAACACATTTTTTATTGTGCTGATTTGTTGTTGATATCGGATGATTTTATTTGAAAGGTTAGATGATCGAAAGATCCTAATTTTGTCAAATATTTTTCAATCGTTTCGGGTTTGCAATCACATCGTCGGTCCAACCCATTGCTGGCGGCAAACTCGATCTTGTTGTTTCTTCAGTTGAATTTTTATGTTGTGATTGTACAATTTTTTTCTAGCGACGTCTAGCACAGTTTTGTTGGAGTTGTTTTCCCATTTATTTATCGTTTGCCGATAATCACCAAAAAACTGATAACTATTTGCTCATTTCCTCTCCGATATCTGTTTTTGGTCCATTTACTGAGGTCGATACTGATGTCGCATATCAAAAAATTGCGAGTAATTTGCAATCAATAATTGATTTTGTTGAGATTTATATTTTATATATTGTCCCATGGTTTGATGATAAATACAGAAACATAAAGAGATTATATTGTCCCATGGTTTGATGATAAATGCAGAAGCAATCGCTTTTGCGTTAAAGTTATCTTTTAACTGAAAAAAAATTGTTGGAAAAATTAGATTGGTTGGTATACATCTCTTCCAACAATATTGTGGGACACAGTCAATAAGTTGTTTAGTAAACACTCTATCGACCACACTTCTTACAAATCAAATAAAATAATTTCACGTTTTAATTTGCAACATTTGTAATGAAAAACAAGTACTTCGATTAGACCTATTCTTTCTCATTGTAAACTAAAACCCGATATGTTTTTATTTACGTTCGCAGTATATTCGAATAAACATGCCCAAAAAATGTTCTCAGCTCGCCAACAGAATCATTTTCACAGGAATATATTTAGCAAATTGTAATTTGGTTTGTTTCTTTCGTTTTGAACATTTTTTGTAAATTTGTGGACGTGTGGGTAGCATATATAGAGAATAAAATATATAGGCCATTGGTTATAAAAAGAATCTTTGAGTGTTATAAGGGGTAATTAGCATATGCGCAGCTAAGGGGTAATTAGCATATTATGGATATCCCATTGTTCCATTAAGCTATTAGAATCCATCCATGGATTCTAATAGCAATCCATCTATGATGTCCTCTCGACAGTATTGGTAGAATAAGCATACCGCTGACGTTTGCTGTTGGCATCCAACTATAGATATCCAACCATTTACGCAATCAAAAACTAATATTTTCATCTAAATATTGTGTATGTAGCGTTTTGTAAAAATAATTGGTGCAGAAAACCTCAAAATATTTTTCGCAAACAGCCAAAATAAAATATTATAACGCAAACGTTTCAAGTGAAGTAGTGATGTTCAATTCTTATGCATAATTCAATGTGACCTGGTGAAAGAGCTAGTTTGTTTACAATTTCACTCAAAAATATTCTGATGTTTAGGAGCAAAGCATAAAAGTTGGTATGAAAGGCAGACAACTGGATCAACAATTCGTGTGATTGCGTGGAGGGTGGCAATGCCCTATCTGTTGCCTAGATTTATCGAAGAGCGCAGCTAAACGCCGCAGTTTATGCGCTACACAAATATTGCTAAGGAAATGTCATTCAGTAAAGTTTTGCAAAAGAAATTATTAATTGGAGGATTAAACGCCTTTGAGACAAAATATTTAAAATGAACTATAAATTTGATACATTAGAATTAATTAATTAACTGTTTTGTTGTTTCGTTGTGTTGGGCGCGTGCCGTGAAGAAGAAGTATCGATCGTGCGAGCTACATGAACGCGAGGAACGTGCGTCCGTTGCGTGGTGCAGCTTCTCCTCACGTTGTATGCACGCTGATGTGCTGGTGATGATGAAGATGATGAGGACGATGGTGATGATCATTACAATCATTTTTAATAATATGGCATAGTGGCGGCCGAGGTAATTCATTCTATCTGCAATTATTTATTTTAGAACTGCAAAATGTCTAGTCAATCTACTTCCGGAAAAATTAGTGATTATTACGATTTAAAAGAAGAATTAGGAAAGTAAGTTTTATTAAAAATGGTTACATCTTTTGAATTTATTTTGATGATGGTTGTTGCATAATTTTTTCACGATTGAACCCTGGAAAGACAAACTTGTGCACTCCTTTCTTTGTGCCTCAATAATAAATTATTACTTTTCAATACAATACTTACTTATGCTTATTCTACTAACCTAACTAAACTATACTATTTAGTATTAACTGGTATAAGTTTATAAGTATTAATACTATTAATTAGTTAATTTTTAAGTATTATTAATTATTACAATTAATTAATTAATTACACAGTTGGAGTTATTTATTTTATTTCTCTTTTAAAAGTTTTATTAATTATAAAATATAAATATAACTTCACCATCATGTTCAAGTCTCATTTTAATTTTTAACTGACAAAAAACTTTGTTGCTTGAATTGTTGAAATATTCATTAATATTAAATTAATTTAATTAATTTTTTGAATATTTATAATTTATATTTTTAAGTTTTGTTATTTTTAATTGTAATAATTTATTATTCATTGTTAAGCTTCCCACTTTAATAATCTAATCAATATGATATTTTTTGTATTGTCTATTCCATACACTAAATATTTTGGTAATGTGCTTATTTATTGAATAAAACTTCAAATTATAGATTCATTTAGTTTTAGTTAGTTGTTTGTTTATATTTATAATATGCTATGAAATGTTTTTTTGGCTAAATTAAATGATTTTTAAAAATCATGTAAATGTTAATGGTTCAAATTAGTGAATTGTCAAATTAGTTATTTATAGTTATGTTATATTACAATAGTTAATATTTTTAACTGATATATGAATTAAGAGATGATTTAACAAAAAAATATATAAATAATATCATCAATGTGATCTTAAATAAATTTACTTTATTTGTTAAACCTAAAATCATGGATTTTAAAAAATGATTATTTGTTCTGGGCTATATTTATAATCAAACATCAATTTTGAATCTTGTTTTCATTTGAAAATGAAATCAGTAACCACACAAACTATTTACTGTACATTGTCTCCATAATTTATGATAAGTCAAGTTGCAAGTGCATTGTCAACATTAACTGGGCCCAAAAATAACAATGTACATTTATAAATCAAGACATGTCTCTAAATAAATATTTACACTTAACTTTACCTTCAGAGGAGCTTTTTCTATAGTAAGAAGATGCACCCAGAAGAACACAGGTCATGAGTTTGCAGCAAAAATCATTAACACTAAAAAACTGTCAGCTAGAGGTAGCCATTTCAATTGTTGTTGCTTCTTTTTTAATTTCATGGTGTTCAATCTCATATCTATTATCTTTGTTGTGTTATGTGAGAATAATGTTAAAATGGTTTTATGTTTTTTAATTGTTGGTGATTTACTTTATAAATGTATGTATATTCTAAGGTGTGATTTATTCATTATGTCATTTTTATAAATGTATGTTTGTTATTTTTAATTTAATTCACCAAATTTAAAAATGTGTGTTTCAAATACTTGAAATTTTTTTTATCTGAATGAAACAACTTTGCATGAAATTTATACTCCATAATTTGTTTTTCAGACCACCAGAAGTTAGAAAGAGAGGCCAGAATATGTCGATTGTTGAAACATCCCAACATAGGTTTGTCTCTTTTTTTGTTCTCATTCGTACTTTTAAATTTTTTAAAACAATACAAATTTGAAGATTTTGCTCAGTTCTGTTTGTTACACAATATTTTTTTATTGTTTTTTAGTTAAGTAGAACACAGGTAATGTAAAATAATTGTATTATAAGACGCTTCATGGGAGCCTACATTTATTCATATGCTGCTGTGGAATGTAGATGATGTGCTGTATGCATTAACTGATCGGTTTCAATGAGTTAATAAATGAATTAGTGAATAACTGATTGATTGTATAGGCTACACGAATTGCATGGTCTATATTCAATCCTTTTATGGTTGGGTTGATATAAAGGAAATGTAAATTTACGGATGATCTTCGTGCACATTCGATAAGTTGGCTTGTAGTTTTTGAACTGCATGCTTGGCATCATCTAATCTTATTGCTGGCTTGAATGCACCACGTAGAACCTGATTGTAAGCCGTAACTGCATTGCCATTTTGCTTTTGTTTCATCCTTGTTTTATTAAGACTCTCAGTTCTTGAGACATTATTAAAATTTTAATCATTTTACCGATGTCTTTTAAATTGAATTTCATGCTAAAATTCAAAGAATCTTTGTGTTTTTTTAATATGTTAATAATCATAAACATAATGTCTTGAATAGTCAACATGTTTGTTGTTGCAATTTAAATTCAGTTCGTCTGCATGACAGCATACAAGATGAAGGATTCCATTACCTCATATTCGATCTGTTAGTCTTCCTTCATTGCTTCCTGCATTGTATTTAAAATTTTTATTTTAATCAGGTATATATTCATTCAAGTTTATTTCCGTAAATTCTTTTTTTTCATCACAGTTCATGAGCTGGCTGGTAATTATTATGCATTTTTTTAATATTTGTACACAGCACACGTTAGCCAAATGATATGGCTCAATTTTTTCTAAACTTTTTAACTGCTTTAGATGGATTGAACATGTGAGATGTAGACAAATTAAAAACTTTATGAAATTTATTAATGTGAGGTTTAAACGTCGCATGATATTCAAAAATCTGGTTGGGTACAATAACAACCAGTGGAGTTCTTATTTCAACAACAAGAGTAACTCTGGGAGGGTTGTATGTGTGGTTGCATACACACACCACACACAGCCATCCGTTACTTTTTTATTTCTGATTGTCATGGGTGGAAGTGGGAAATTTTATTTCACACAATCGTTCCTTGCCACGCTCGTCTCTCTTGAAAAAAAACATGCAGGTCATAAAAGTTCGGGTGAATTCTCAATTATTAATTTTTTAAATCTTTTGTTGTTTTTCCAAAGTATTGTTACAATATGTCGCTGAATATAACATTTCATCTTCAATGTTTATATTTTCATTGATTACATAAATAGGATTTCTATTTAATGAAACATACTGTGCTACATTCGTTAACAGAGTTACGGGCGGCGAGTTGTTTGAGGACATTGTTGCTAGGGAATTCTATTCCGAAGCTGATGCCAGGTAACCAGATGTATTCAAATGTATTCAAATTCATTCATTGCTCCTCTTTTTTCTGATATTTTAATAAAGAATTTTTCTTTTCTATTGTGACAATTTTTCAAAGTTTAACTGAATTGCATTCACTTTTTTTCATTTATTTGTTGTTCCTATTAAAATGAAAAGTAATATTTGAAATGTTCAAACAATATCTTTTTCTTACATATATGAAGTAATAATTTAGAATTTTAAAGTATAAAATACTGCAAGTTCAATGTTTCATCTTCAGTTTGAGTTGAACATAAAAATACAATGGCCACATTTTCTTAACAGGCATTTTATGTATTCAGTTATGTTAATATTACTTCTGCACATGTTCGGAGATGGAGGTGGTTTTGAAAAGTTATACAAAATAATTTATCTGAGTCATTGTTCTGCGTTTTGTTTAGTTGCAATTGTAAATGTTGATAAAATATAATGGGTTTTTAAGTTTTGATGTTGATATCAATACCTATTTGCATTACTTATTGTACATTTTGTTTTGACTACGTGTTGAGGTTTAAATATAACAAATGTTTGCATGACTTTTCATTAAGTGAATGTATCACATTCTATTTAATTTTATTATGCATCACTCAACTATTTAAAATTTATTAGTGTAATTAAAATAATTCACAAACCCTGTGGGGTATGTGACAGGAGAGTGAAGGCTAACTCGGTATTGTGTATAGGATGTCAGAAATGGGTGCATAAAAGATGTAGTGGTGTGAGGGGGGCACTGAAAAAGGTGGAAGGCATGTTCAAATGTAAGAAATGTGTTCATGGTGTGATTAATAGGATGGACGCAAGGAACGCGGATGGAGGATGTTTGAGCGCAGTTACAGCTAGAGTTCGTGTAGGATGGATGAAATTTAGGGAACTGGGTGGGATATTGTGGGGAAAGAAATGGTCAGTGAAGATGAAAGGGAGGGTGTATAAAGCATGTGTGAGAGCAGCAATGGTATATGGTGGTGAAACTTGGGTGTTGAGGAGAGAGGAGGAAAGTGTACTGCAGAGGGCTGAAAGAGCTATGGTGAGGATGATGTGTGGGGTTAAAGTGAAGGATAGGAGGAGTAGTACAGAGCTGATGTCAATGATGGGACTGAATGAGGACATTGTGACATTGATAAGGAGATCGAGATTGCGGTGGTATGGACATGTGTTGAGAAGGGATGAAAGGGTCGGGATTAGGCGAGCGTTGGAGTTCGAGGTTGAAGGAGTGGTAGGAAGGGGTCGTCCGCGATTGGGATGGAGAGAGCAGGTGGAGAAGGACAGGGTGAAAGCGGGGTTGCGTGATACTGAGGCGAGTGACAGATGTGGATGGCGTCGAGGGGTATTTTGGTTTCATCATAGGTAGCCAAACGGCAACCCCCGATCTCGGGGAAAATGTCGTCTAAACGTGTGTTGTTGTTTTTGTTGTTGTTGTTGTTGTAAATATTTGATATGTTTTGTAGGAAGCAGCATTTGAAGCGTTATCAATTAGTCTCTATTCTAACAACTCTGTCTCTCTGCTGCTTGGCTTCATCATCATCACGGCTCATTTCTCTTTCCTTATTGTTATATACAATGCATTCCTCTGACCCATTTGCTTCACAATTCAACATGTCATTCACATTTCATTTCATGTTAGTTCAATTCAAATGAGGAATTTTAATATGTTAACGTTCTTGCATGGACCTTTAATGCACTTGTTGTTTAGTTTCTGGCTAGAGGAACTCGTCAAAAAATAATATTGTTAATGATGATGATGATGATGATGATGATGATGATGATGATGATGAAGGTAAGCATTAGCAACCATGTGGAACTTACCCGATTTTATTTACAAAACAGAGCTCAAAGTTTATATATACAGTGCAACAAAATAATAAAATCTGGCGTTGATGCTGCTGCTGATGGTCTTATAATTTGAATTGATTATTTGACAGCAACTGCATGCAGCAGATACTGGAGAGCGTGGATTACTGCCATCAGATGAACATTGTACACCGAGATCTCAAGGTTGTTATATTCTTTTTTTTCTTCAAGTTTTCTACGTTTTTTGCCTTCGCGTTCAAAAATTAATTTGTTAAATTAAAGTTCTCTTGTTTAGTGTAGTCTGCTGTTGATGCAAAGTTCATTATTTTTTTAAATACTGTTTGTGTAGCGACTGTGCTGTTATTTGTTCTTTTGAAGGTTCGATTGCATTTTTTTTATATTGGGAGATGTGTCCCAGCTATAACTGGAAGGAACATCACCATGTAAATTATAATTATTAGCTTTTCAAGGATTTATTCAGAACCAATTTTTTGATATTTAATTTTTTTGTGTTTAATTCTTAAATTAAAAAAAAACTGTTTTAGTTTTATGAAACTAAAACAGTTTTATGATAAATAAACTATCTATATTTCCCAGCGTCCCAGCAACAAACTCACCACTTGATTATTTTATCCAAATTTTACTTTGTCGCAAACTCTTCTTGTCATCAAGAGACAACCTAGTTTTTAGATGTATATGCGTGTGTGTGTGTGCTTGTGTATGCGTGCGTGTGTTTGCAATGCACTTCCTGACTACAATGATGCCTCCAACAACAGCATCTCATCACACATCATCATCTCAGATGCTTTCCTCAACATGAACAGTTGAACGGACGTGCATGTTTTCACACCACTGAAAGTCATCAACTCATTCACGCCAGTAACAGTCTTGATTTACGTTCTCATTCTTGTTATCTTTCTTTAAATTTTAAGATTTCAGCTTCATTTCTTTAAAGCGTCAGAAGTAGCCAGTTTAATCGTTTGCAATTCGGCGGTTTCCATATTTTGGCTACTGATGTCTTTGCCTTGATTTTTCTTTTTCCAATCAAATTGCTTTTGGCTACTTTTTCATTGTTTGTAATTTGTCATTATTTGATTTTTATAATGTAAACTTATATATATTCTACAAAAAATGTTTGGATGATTGATCCTTGCATTGAAGTTTTGTTGGTGGTCTGCTCATGCAAGAGATTCCTGAAATGTTGAAAGATAAATTTTTAATAAATAACCAACTTTGAATATTTAAGACTTAATACTGAAATACATACATACATATATATATATATATATATATATATATATATATATATATATACATATATATATATATATAATATATATATATATATATTTTTCATGTATGTTATGTCCTCGCTTGCCTTTTTATTTGCTATCTGACAGGTAGCAAGCAGTATGTATGTACAGATCTGGAATAAAATGTTTCGTTGCACTTAATCATTTCTCTGTATACAGGCAATAACATATTGTTTTGTAAATGTGTGGTGATGAGATGTTTTTGCTTTTTTTGTAATTTCGCTAATTATCTGACTTGCAAGCTGATAACCTTTTATAAACAAGTGGTAATTCACATAGGGATTGTGTTTTCATCTCTCTGATGTTTCTGGATAGGAATTTAGTTGTGTACTGCTCTATTATGCATCATTTTTTATTCACAATGTTGGCCGTTTTGAACTTGTTTCAGGCCTTTGAATATTTTATGCTGTGCTATGTTAATTGGTGCTAAGTTGATTGTGCTGAGTTTATTCATGTTGTAATTTGTACACATGACAGTATAAACACTTAGTAGAAACATTTAGTAGAAACTAGTACCTACCCTTGTGTCCATTTTGACATATTTTGTGTTTGAGTCCATTTTTATTTTTTCCTTTGACGTTCAGTTTATGTTTAAAACTTTAATCTATAAAAGTTTCTGTTTGTATTTGCTGTTCTGTCTTGTTAAAATTGTTGTTTCTATTTCTAAACACTATTGAATTAGGAGAACTGATGTTGATGCTGTTGTGTTATAAGAACTGGTGATGATGCTGTTGCGTTATAAGAACTGGTGATGATGCTGTTGCGTTATAAGAACTGGTGATGATGCTGTTGCGTTATAAGAACTGGTGATGATGCTGTTGCGTTATAAGAACTGGTGATGATGCTGTTGCGTTTTAAGAACTGATGTTGATGCTGTTGTGTTATAAGAACTGATGTTGATGCTGTTGTGTTATAAGAACTGATGTTGATGCTGTTGTGTTATAAGAACTGATGTTGATGCTGTTGTGTTATAAGAACTGGTGATGATGCTGTTGCAGCTGAAATGTCGCTGGTTGCTCTGTTAATAAGGTTTTCTGGATTTTAAGGCTTTCTGTTTTTTATAACAATAAAAATGAGTTTGTACAGTTTGTTGAAATGTGGTCGGTACATTTTGTGCAGCACTGTATTAAGTTGGCTGGCAATATATGGAAACAGTGCAACTATTAATAATGATTTATAAACTGGCTGTTTTAAACAGTAAAAAGAAATAACATAAAAATACCATCACCATGATGGGAATGAGGAAGATGATGATGGTGATGGTGGTGATGTTAATAGGGAATAAGATGATGTGAAAGAGGTGATTTTGATGGGCTGGTGATGATGATGTAAAATGATGATGATCATTATCATGTAAGAAGATGATGGTGATGATGTAAGGATGAAGATACGGATAGGAGTGGAGGAGATGATGATGATGATGATGATGTGGTGGTGGATGAAGATGATAATGCGGAAAGAGCATAATGAAGGGGATGATAATGATGGGAATGAAAAAGATGATATGGATGATGATGATGATAATGAGGTTAATATATGACGATCATGATGTTGTTAATGATAGTGGGTGTGAAGATGATAATGAAAATGATGAGGATGGAGATAAGGATTCTAAGGAGAGAGTATGTCAGGGATGTTGATGATAAAGTTGATGATCTTGGTGATATGATGGAGTTGTTAAGGATGATGAATGTGAAGATGATGATGATGATGAACATGATGATGAGGACAACGATGCATATAATAGGATGTACATCCTGGTGATTGATGATATTTTTTTTTATTCTTTTCATTTCTTCATTTTGGCAATAAAATGTTTGTTGAAAACGTTTCCTGGAAAGTTTGATCAATGGCGTTTGTGATTGCGGTTTAAATGTGGCTGAATTTTGCGATATTGGACATTGCTTTTATCGAATGGTTTATTTAAAACATGTTTGCTGTAAGTTTAATTACAAACTAAATTGTAATGAACATGATCGTTAGTATTTATATGCAATATCTAAGCTTACATAATCATTGTGCATCAATGTTGTTGCAGTTGTCACATGAAAATGCCTTCATTGTGTTCACAATGTCATTATTATTTATCATGACCTGAGAGTTCATTAGGTACTTATTATTTTAAAAGCAGTTTTCATCTTCTTAGCAATACTTATAGTGCTAATTCATGTTGTTCTAAAATGGATAGTAAATTGTGATAATGTTAAATTTATAAAAGATTGTTACTGTAATGACGTAAAATGGGTGAGTGATGTTGTAACTGATGTTGTAACTGATGTTGTAACTGATGTTGTTTGTAACTGTTGTTTGTAACTGATGTTGTAACTGATGTTGTTTGTAACTGATGTTGTAACTGATGTTGTTTGTAACTGATGTTGTAACTGATGTTGTTTGTAACTGATGTTGACTCTGTTTTGTGCAGCCTGAAAATTTGTTGCTGGCCAGCAAACTGAAAGGAGCAGCAGTGAAGTTGGCAGATTTTGGACTGGCCATCGAAGTCCAGGGCGAGCAGCAATCGTGGTTTGGTTGGTGGTCATTTCCATTCTTTTACTTTTTATTCAACAAATATGTCCTACTTTTGTTAAATTTTAATAAATTGGTGATTGTGTTGTTAGGTTGAATGACGTGTTTCAACCCTTCAACATTTTCATATAAATATACATGATGTTGTAGGTGGATTTTCAGTGATAAATTAAAGCTCAACTCATAAACTTTATGTGCTTTACTAGGTGGAATGGATTTTTTGAAGCTCGTTAAAATTTTAATAAGTTTCTTAAGAAACTGTTAAAACTTTTTGTAATCTTTCCCTCTTAATTTGCGCAATATATTTTACTCTTAAAGCTCTAAATAGTTTTGCACAAATTGACAAATTAAAAAGTTTCAAGTATAAAAAAATTCTTGAATATTTTTAACGCAAATCAATATTTTTGCACTGATTTATGTTTATAAAAGTTAACTTAGTGATACTAAAAAAACAAATTAATTTGAATCTATTCAAATTTGTTCTTGATGAAAGAAATTAACAAAGTGCGTGAGACTGTTGGCTCTCAGAAAATCTACACTCCAACTTGTTTGCAAACAAATTGTTTGTTAATTTACGTGCTCTGTAAATAAAGCTACAACAAGAGAGATGGAAGATTTATTACATCAAAAATATAAGCATCTCTGATGGAAATGTATATGTACCTAAATGACAACCAGTATATTTAATAATTATCAGTTTTAAAAAATGCTTTCAAATAATTGTTGTAATGGAATATATTTCCAACTCAGCTAAACCTAAAACATAATTTCGTACGTTTCTTTGTTCTGTATGATAAAATGTTAAATTACAATTCATAACAAAATGTAACGATTACAATCTGATAACAGGATTTCAATATCGTTATTATTTTCATTCGTTTAAGTTTGCCATTTAAAAGAATTTGAAGTATCATTCCAAAAGTTTTTATTACAGCTGCTTCCCATCTCCTATAGAAACGAGATAATTCTGAAAACTTATAAAAGTTATGTATGAAATTAATTGGAAAAGTTTAGAAACCTTTACAAAGCCAACATCAAACTGCATTGTTCATGAATACATATGAAAGGAAATTGAATTTTAATAATTTATATTGCTAGCATTTCGACTCTAAATGAAAACATGACAAGATGAATACAAATTTTTTTAAACCTAAAACTGGATGTCTAGAACTTACTTTTTATAATTATTAAACAATAATAACTATTATTATATTGTTAATATTAATAAATATTTCGTTTTTGAATGAGTTAGAGGCTGTTAACAAACAAGCAGAGGTTTGGAAGTCTGTTGGGTGTAAATTTGCAGCATGTGTTGCTCAGTTGTTGACCTGTTGAAACGATTGAATGCAATGTTTTTCATCACAAACCGTTTAGCTATTTCATCCAACTAACTCGTACTTTTATTAACCTTGCCCAAAAGTTAATTAAATAGACTTCCCAATAAACTTCAAGCACTTGTTCTTAAAAATTTTCATCACAAAACTTGCCTTTAATAGTTGACAGTTCAAAGTGCGTCTCAAATACCTCCACCAAAATGACATTGTTCAGAAAAATTTCAAAATTTACCGTATCATTTCAAAATATTATTTTGCTGTCTGAAAGCCCTCATTAAACTGAAATTTTAGCATTTTCAACACAGTTTCTATTTAAATCTTTACATTTTCAACTTATTCATCTTCTTAAAATATGACTTTTGATGCGTAAACATCAAACATCGTATAAGCTGGTATAGAATTTATTTTGTATTAATTCTTATGTGGTGATATTGCTCATTAACTTGTTGATCAATTGAAATATTCAGGTTTCGCTGGGACTCCAGGCTATCTGTCACCTGAGGTATTGAGGAAGGATCCATACGGCAAGGCTGTTGATGTTTGGGCCTGTGGTGAGTTAATAATGCTGTCATGATAATTGCACATGGCTTTAATGCCTCGAAAGTGTTTTGGTTCAAAATGCTTTCTGATGCCATTCAACAGTTGATTGGATAATATTAAAAATGAATATGAAACACAAACGAGCAGGAGTGATCCTGTACATATTGCTGGTCGGCTACCCTCCCTTCTGGGACGAGGATCAGCACAAGTTGTATGCACAGATCAAAGCTGGAGCATTTGATGTTAGTTTTTGTCCTGCTCTTCATTCATTATTCATTACAGTAGATTTGTTCAAGTTTTTCAATTAGCTTTACCACTGAACAATTTCATTTTTTCCGCGAACCTGCAAATACTTATGTTTCATTTATGCCTGAAGTTCGCCTAAACAAACTGAAAAAATTTAAATTAATTTTTTCTCTTTTGAAATTCCATTCTATATTGGATTGTAAGCGCACTAAGTGGTTTTTTATATATAAAAAAGTTGTCTGCTTAACAAATGATTTGACTGCCAAAGATTTTAAGTTCAATTATTATAAATCTTCACAGTACTTGTACATAAGTTATTCTGATTGATGATTTAAATGCTTTGTGTTTCCTATTCTGTTAGTTGAAGATAATTTGATTGGTTTAAAATTGCAATACTGCATCACATGTTTCTTATCGGCCATGGTTACAACCAAAGTTTTTATTAATTTGTTTGTCAGTGGAGGTTTGTTAAGCGTTATTGAGTAGTGAGTTAACAAATCACAATCCTTATTTGGTCATTGTTTGTTTGTTTCTTGAATGCTTGATGAACATATCTCAAGCAAATGAAAAAAGAATGAGGTGGCAAACTATTTAATATTCTCACAAATTCTCAATGCATACATTTACATTATACATGCACACTCAAATACTTTTATTCACTCAAACACATACCCAAACGCGCGCGCGCACACACACAAACACACCACACATCCACACACACACACACACACACACACACACACACACACACACATGCAGTATCCATCTCCAGAGTGGGACACAGTGACCACGGAGGCAAAAACTCTCATCAACAACATGTTAACTGTCAATCCATCAAAGAGAATCACAGCATCACAGGCACTCAAACACCCTTGGATTAGTGTTGGTCATGGTGTTGATGTTTCCTCCTCTCCTCCTTCTTCTTTTTCTCCATATTATTATATTTTGTTGTTTCAGCCAATGTTTCAAGCATCCTATTTGTTTATTCGTTATCGGCATGATTTTAAAAAAAAATTTCCATTTGGTGCATTTCTCTTAATTGGTTGTGATGACAGACTGATCTGTTTATTTACATTAGCTCAAATTTCGATACTTGTTTTCTTCTTGCTTCAATGATGAATACCAGAAAAGATTTATACCCAGCACAATGTGATTCCACATCTGTGGTGTGGAATGCTTTCATGCTTTCATTCATATATGCTGATAAAGCGAGTTGTAAAAAGATGTCGAGATTATATTCGAGAATATATAAAAGTAATCTACGTGAATGGGGCGAATCTTTTGAAAAGATGTTATATGGTTCACTGCTGGGACGCAAAGTTATCATTCTGTTTTTTGTAGTAATAGCATGGTAATGCCAAGTGATTGTTTCTACTCATTTATAGTGCTCCATGGTAATATGCTTTTAACATTATATTCAAGTAAGTCATGTTCATTTATGTACATTATATTCATGTACATTATATTTAACACTACATTTATTCACATTTATCTATCAATCAAACATCCACCGAACCAAACAATCAACTTACTGACCAACCCATCAGCCAACCTACTAAACGAACATCCAACCTACCAACTATACAACTTGTACCAACTATACAACTTACTAACCTACCAAACAACCAAACAAACAAATAACCAACTGACATAACAACCAATCAACCTACCAAACAATCAACCATTCAATCAATCAACCAGCAAAGAGAAAGAGTAGCAGCAATGGTGCACAGACAACAAACAGTTGATTCCTTAAGAAAATTCAACGCCAGAAGAAAATTAAAGGTACACTCATTTCATTTAATTTTTCCAATGATCAACTCAATTCGCATCTGATTGTGTCCACATTTCCAGCTGTAGTTGTATTTGTTTTGTCCTGGAATGATGTTCAGACGGTTGGATACTAAATTTCTAGCACATTTTTTATGTCTGGGGTATATAAAATGTAGATGAAAAAATTTTTTGATCAAAATCTAAATCTATTTTGTGAGTGTACGTTTATATTTTATAAAAAGTTTATGCCACCTGAAAAGTTTGAACAAATTTTATTTTCATAAATTTTATTTCATTTAATGAAAATATAAAACTTTTATGTTACGAATTTAAAAAAATATAATGCATGATGTTTAATTTAATATGAAAATAAACGTTGATAAGTAACTAGCCAGTCATCCATCCGACATGGTCATACGCTTTCATTAAATTCTAAACTGACTTCATGCAATATTTTTCAACATGCCTTGCATCCTTTCACACGTAACACTTTACATGGCTATAAATTAAAGTTTCATTGTTTTAATCGCCTTCAGGGAGCCATTTTGACAACCATGCTGGCAACCAGCAATTTTTCAAGTCAGACTTTTTTTTTCGTTTTATGTTTTCAACCAATTTTGTCATATATTTTTATAAGTAGGGATTCGTTGAATCATAAAAAATATGGCAAATTAATTTTAGATCGAAGTTTAATGACCAAGAAAACAGATGGAATAAAGGAGTCATCAGATAACAGTGTTACAATTGAAGATGACGACAGAGGTATCGTGCTTGCCATTCATTTTACATTTTTTGCCATCACTTCATTATTTTTAATTTGTTTGACATGTATTCTATTTAATTTCTAATATTTATTTTATTATTTCTAGGTTTAAAACATTTTCTTTGCATTTAAGTTGTATAACTAATGATTATAAGTGGTTTCATATCTAAAAAATTGTTTTTATGCTGATATGTGTTTCGTCATTGACACATCGGTATGCGGTTACAGTTATTCTTGTTTTGCCACACATTTTTTGCTAGTGTTTACCAAATAATTTCTATCAGACTTTAATAATTTTTTTCGCTATTTTGCATGTATATCGTAAATTATTTGGGCATGCAGGCAGAGAGAGTATTAAGTTAGTTACATTTTTACTGGAGGCAATGATTTTTCTTTCTCACTCTTTTCATCCAACATAAAAGTTTGATGTTTTAGTATTATATTATGCCCGATAGAATATGCAGATCAATTATATGCTGAGCTTGAATATTTAAAACGGTTTATCTACCTTCTGAAAAGCATATGGTAATCAGAATTTATCAAAAAAATTAAATAATTTACGTCTAATTTTAAAATATAAAGAATTTTGTTGATCTATATCATTGTTAGTCTTATTGAATATGAGCGCGGCCTTCGACTGCATTGATCAGTCTTTACAATTTGATAAGCTTAAACATTGTTTCTGGATTGGTTGTCTCATCGTTTGAATGGTACCTGATTGGCTGGTGCATCAGACCTTTTTTAACAAGCTATCTGATGTCGAGTTGGCTTTGTCAGGAATCCCCAAAAGTTCAGTCTTGGAGCCTTTCTATTTTTATTGTGTAAACCTTATGTTTCACATTATTGAGGATCATAATTTTAAATGTCATATTTTCACTGGCCATGTACAAATAATGAATGGTTCCTGTAGGCTGTAATACGACTTTCGAAATATTAGTCAACAAACTTGTCTGTTGTATCGAAAAATTAAAGTTAAACGATGGAAAGACTCAGCTGTTACTTGAAAATACATCAAAATATTTAGTTTATGCATTTATTCATCCAAAACAGAATTCTGGCTGGTTTACGGTCAATGCAGAATCGTGCGGTTAAGATGGTCTCAGGTGTATCAAAGTTTGAACATGTCGGTTATATTATATTAGACCTTCAGTGCTTCACAGTCAGAAAAAGAATTATTTTCAAAATTTCCATTATTGTATTCAAACGCTTGAATGGTCTTAATCCAAGTTATTTTATCTAATCAACGTCCTTAGTTAGGCTCAGATGATCAGGATTTTCTGATGATGCCGAAAGCACAAATAGTTGTAGGAGCTTCCGAAACTTTGAAGTCTCCGTCCCAACAGTCTGGAAAAATTTACCACTCAGCCTGCATCAACCGGTTTGTCACTTTAAAAGTTTCAAAGGCAGTTTTTTAAAACTCATCTTCTACGGACTAATCCACACAACTCAAGACTCGCTTTTGAGTAGTGTAAAGGGTGCATTATACACATTTGTTTCATTCATGTGTTTGACATGCACAATTTTCAGTCAATGTTTTTCAGGCTATTTTGTAACATACATGCATACTACTTTAGCTTCATCCAGCATTGGTTGAAATAATTTTTATTCTCTTAAAACTGTTCATTATTTCTTGATGTAGCTTGTTTCGTTCAAAGATTTTCTGATATAGTTAAGTATTTACTGAAAATTTATTTATTTTCTACAACCTTTTATTCGAATGTTAAAGAATCAGTTTTACAACAATCTGATTATCTGATTTTTGTGAGTTTTTGTTATGTGCTAAGTTTTTATCATTTTTTTCATTTGCAACATCCTTTTATCTTGATATATATCATCATAATTCAACACAACGTAATAATTATCATTAATTGGTCCACAAAATAGGCACTGGACTATTTTTGAAAATTCTGTCACCAAAAACTGAATCAACTAATAAATGGAAGAAAACAACTATTGAACCTAACCCCATCCAAAGCATGCAGCATATATTTGTTCACGCAATGCAATAAAGATTATGTGATATTATGTTGATTATTTTATTTCCGCCTAATCCCGACTCTTTCATGTGTTGAGAAGGGATGAAAGGCTCGGGATTAGGCGAGCGTTGGAGTTCGAGGTTGAAGGAGTGGTAGGAAGGGGTCGTCCGCGATTGGGATGGAGAGAGCAGGTGGAGAAGGACAGGGTGAAAGCGGGGTTTGCATGATACTGAGGCGAGTGACAGATGTGGATGGCGTCGAGGGGTATTTCGGTTTCATCATAGGTAGCCAAACGGCAACCCCCGATATCGGGGAAAATGCCGTCTAAACGTGTGTTGTTGTTGTTGTTGTATGTTGATTATTTTATGTTGCTCAAAGCTCATTCATGAGCTGCATCGAGCTTGATGATTTCAAATGTGTATATTAAGCAAAATATTAGTTAACTGATTTTAGCTTATTGTTAAGTGGATAACTTTTTCAGCACAATACAACAACTTATTTCATTTTAATGGATATTTTTGTCTGTCTTACCATGTTTAAACGTAGCTAACAAACTTATCATCAGCATGACACTTTCTCACCATTCATCTGCACTAACTTTTGTCACCATTACTTCACATTCACCTGCATCATTTCTTATCTCTCACTCATTACTCTACATTCATCTGCATTGTTTCATGTCACTCACTCATTTCTCAGCATTTATCTGCCCCAACTCACGCAGGTTCTCCAAAAACAAAAGAAATGAATACTTCGAATGGCGGAGGAGGAGGGAGTACAGAGACAGGTGTTGGGGAGGCTAATGTTATATCCATCATTAACAGGCCAGACCACGGAGACAAATCAAGTGATTCCACATCAAATATCATTATTTCATTCAAGCTTTTTAATATATATCATTCAACACAGCGAATTTAAATGCTTGATTTAATTAACACCAGGTCGCAAGCAGGAGATAATAAAGTTGACTGAAGTAGTCACGTCTGCCATGTTGCGAGGAGACTTTGACACGTTCTCGTATGTTCATATAACCAAATGTTTCTTAGAAATCTTGACTCTTCATTTTATCATAATTTTTTCCAACATTTCAAATTGTGACAGTATGTTGCCTTTGGAAGTTTTTATAAATATTTTAAAATTTGTAATGTTGTTGTCCAGCAAATTGGTAGATCCTCAGATGACGTGCATCCAGCCTGAATCGAATGGCAACTTAGTAGGCGGACTGAGTTTCCATCGATTCTACTTTGACAACGGTTCTATTTTATTTCATTTAATTTTTACATTACATTTTTCATTTTGCAGTTTGATTTTCTGTTCAACGTCATAAGATTAATCGAGTTTGAAATCTTATAGAGATAAAACTATTATAATTTTTTTAAATTAGGAAAGATGGTTCCAGAAGGAAATTATTGTAACTTCAATTATTTGCTTACACTTTTATGTGGTTATGTGACAAGTTTAATAATGCAACCAAAAATTGAAAAGTTTTAATCGTTGTAGTCTAAAAAGCATTGAAGGATGCAGTGTGAGTATTTGAAAGGATGAGGTCGTTCTATTGTCTTGGAATGTTGAAGCTTCTTCATTGGCTTACCGTCAGGCAAGGAATTACATTCAAAATCGTCCTTTTAGATTTTAAATGTGTTATTAGTGTTCGTCCTAATTATTTAGAATCTGTTTGTAGATCTTTTGATTTACTTACGCGTAGGTTGTCTCTTAGGTCTCCCACTGAGGAATTGTTCATTATACTGAGGACTACAACGTCTTTTGGAGGTGGAAGTTTTTTGCTTCTGCACCTTTTGTGTGAAACTTCTTACTGTTTTAGCTTCCTACTTTAAAGTCTCTAATTGCTTCTCGTCGTTGTCTTAAATTCTATCTTTTTAACCAAGCTCATTTTTGATTAATAATCTATTGTTGCCATTTTTATTACAGTTGTTGTTATTATTAGTGTTTTATTCACTTTATACATTTTCGTGTAGGGTGCTACTTGTGACTAGCAGGCTTTGTTGATGGTTTTTGTCTTTTGCATTGTGCTGGTTTTGTATGCGTATGACCTGGTTAGTTGTACAATTTGTGACATGTAATGTACTGGTTTAGAAAAAAATTGATGACAAAGAAAACAACGTCCTACCTCGGGGGAACTGGGTCTCTGTACGCTAAACGAAGATTGATTGATTAGACACTTTTTCATATGGTTTTTTGAATTATCCTCCAAGAACTGTTTAGGAGTGAATTTTAATGAATAAAAAAATAATATACACGTGTCAATTGTTAGTAGCAAGCAGTAAAATGCATTTAATAAAGAAGATGTAGATGTAATGAATTTTCAGTGTACTACGTAACAAAGCATCAAATGGAGAGAGGGAAATATATGAGACATCTATCTCTGTTACCTGTTTACCAGTATTACCTGTAGAAGCACAATCTAAATTAAAAGCCAACCTCGTTTTCCTGCTTTTAACCAATGAATATGATCATATTCGTATTGTCTACCAAATAAATTGTGTATTGTTTTTTATTCTTTCACATTTTCATAGTTTTCCATTCAATCATAAACTTCATCCGTCATTTTTAATAGTTTTCTAATTTTGAAACGCCTATATTAATGAACAGTGCTTGTAAAGAACAACAAGATAATAAATACATTCATCCTGAAGCCGTATGTTCACTTCTTATCTGAAGAAGCTGCCTGCATTGCTTACACCAGACTCACTCAGTACATTGACAGGTGACAGTAATCAAATAATTCTTCCGTAACCATATATAATTTAAACAGAACGCAACTTCAAAATGTTTTTATATTCAGAGCACTCACTTCTACATTACAAGGGATGAATTTTTAATTTGTGTTCTGCATTAGGAATGGCACCCCGACGACCATCCATTCAGAGGAGACGAGAGTGTGGCAGAAGCAAGGGAGGAGATGGTTGAACGTTCACTACCACTGCTCTGGTGCCCCTGCCATCCCCTGCTGCAAGTGATGCCCCCCACCACCAACAATTATTATTTGCGGTTGTTACAAAGTTTTAGTCGTTTCGTTGGGGAATTAGATGAGCTAAATTAAATAAAAATATTTAAACTTTGGAAGTAATGATTTGAATGAAGGAAACAACTGTTGAACTGACCCGAGTGATAGGTGGATAAAAAATCATTAACAGGATCGTTTAATATAAAGACCATGCCGTGTGCATACAGATCAAATGAGTGATATTTTAGTTCTAGAATGGATTTTCATTAAATGTGGCGGTCGTCGTGAGTCGTGAGAATAACAATCACCAACCACTTCATCACCACCGCGCCCACACTTTTATCACTTTTACTTAATTTTTCTATGAAGTTTGTTGTTGTTATTGTTGACATTATTGTTGTTGTTGTTTCTTTGATCTCCGTATTGAAAGTTAATATATTACATTACATTACAGCGTTGACATATTTTGTTGTCATTTCATAAGTTGGTTGCATTAGATTTTGTGATGAATGACCTGTACTATTTTTATTGCTGTCATGTAAAGGTTAATGTTTTTAAAATTGTGCATTTCATTTATATGCACATTTTGTTATTTTAACTTTTCACTTCACGCCATCGTTATCATTACCACCAGTTTTAGATTTCAAAGCATGGTTTTCATCTAATACTTTTAGTTATTTCTTCTTATTTCTCGTTTAATTCCTCGTTCATTTTAACTGCTCTCAAACTCCAATCAATTCATTATTCTCTAAACAATAAATAACAATGTAATTTTCTCCATAATTAATCTCTTACAAAGTAGATATCTGTTAATACATTTCATATTCTTTAAAACGTTTGCTTTTCAAAGCAGGCCATGCAAAACTTTGATTGAGTTGTTGAAAAAGGTATATGTATATCTATAAGTATATATACAACGTATTCATTGACATTGACACACGTCCTCCCAGTGTTGGTTGAATTGTCACGAATGCCGGGATTAAATGACCAGTACAACACGGTGTTGGTATATGAAGTTTTGATGAAGGTTTTGAGCCAAAGTTAAACTCCAAAACATGGGTCGTCTGCTTGATAAATAAATCATCCATTGTTTCAAATTCATAATCTAAATATTTTTGTAAGTGTTTTATTTTGATTTATATTAGCATCGTTTTAATATAAGGTAATACATAATACATGTACCAATTAATTACCGTTACACATGTAGGCTACACACCTTTAACTTATTTATTAATTATTTAATAAAATTATTACATGATTATGCTAATAAATAATATATATATTTATTTATTTATATGTATATGTTGGTGTTGCATGCAAGTAGCTGGCAAGATATAACGAATCATGCCTGCAACGTGGTAGGTACCGATGCCGTTGTGGTGGCCGAGGAGCAGAGTTCAAATAGAGGTAGCCTACTGAGACGAAGAGCAGAGTGCAAACACAAGGCACATTAAAATATAAACTACACAACACGATATTAAGCGTTGAATGAGTTGAGAGATGACGGAGCAAGCGTGAGAGGTCTTCATTTCGTATACTTCTCATGTACTATGATGCATGCAGCCGCAGTGGATCTTGAGGCACTTGGTCTGCTGGCCTTCAAATTTAATATTTTATATTTATATATGCATGCCTACAGATTCCTGTATCAATGCGTTAATAAGCTTGTATTTGTATCTGCTTATTATATATACGTATATATATCTGCAGCGATTCTATGTATGAGTTCTGCATTAAGACATACATTCACGCTCAAATTCTTGGCATCTATATTGTCATCATCATCAAATCGGCAGTTATCACGAAAAGATAAGAATAATATTGATAAAAGTAATGACAATGACAATAATGTTTTGTTCACATTTTCTGCCCCACTGTCGCTACTCTATGAGAACATCAAAAACATTTTTTTCATTTCGATTTGATGCATTATCTTCGTTAGTGTTGTTGCACCAATTTTGACCAACTTATAAATACGATTTTATTTATTCATTCATTTGTTTTGAATCCTGTTTTGTGGAATTCTTTGTGGTAACTTTCCTTTTCAGATCTCAACTGTGTGAGGAATCGTGTGTATGATCTTGTACATTATTTGATTTGAAAAATTCTAGTAAATCAACTTTTTTATTACAACTTAATGAATTTTTTAAATTTATTTATTATTATTATTTATTTATGACACAGTCGTTGGCAAACTGTACTGCAAACTCGATCGTTCCCATGTTTTTTAATTTTTATCATGAAAATTGTTGATAAAATTTTTCCAGGATTGATTTTATAAAATCTAGTATTATTTTTTTCCATTCGCTTCACTTCATGATGTTTTTATTAATCATGTCACATTTTTATTATTACAAATAAAACTTCGTTATATTCAGTTTGATTTTTGTGTATCAATTTTCAGTAAAATCAAATTCAGATCCTAAATCTCATTAATAATTGACAATTTTGTTTCCTAAAACTATAAAGAACATAAAGGAACGTGTTAATGGGCTTGAGACAATTTCAAATTTTAAGTAAAGTTCTGTTTTAAAATTTGGCTTGGCTTTGACGAAATTAAAAGGTACAAAGAGCATAAATGGATTGCTGAATGACCCAAATAACTTGTTTGGTATTGTTTTTGAAAGTTGTTAATAATTGAAAAATTGTAAAAAACGAAAGCACCAACTCTCTTGCAGATACGTGCTAGGAGGCTACGGATAAAAACTTTAAAAAGTAAACGGAAACTGAATCCTTAGCCGGAACACTGATTAACTTACAAATCCTAAAAATAAATTTTAAATATCATTTTTTACTTAAAAGCTTCATGTGTAGTTAGCTTGTTTGGTTATACTTTTACATTATAACTTGATTAACTTTGAGAAATCTGATTTAATATTTGATAGGCTGCATGCTATGTATCGAGTAATCATTTAACATCGACTATCATTAACCATGAAAACGGATTCGTAAAAAGATTGTTAAATCGTTGTTAATATTTCTTTACATTTATATTTTTCTACTAAATATAATTTAACATTTATTTCAATATGCCATAAAAAGAATCGTATCATCAGTTTCCATGTTTTCTCATGGGTGAATTTTATGTTATTGATTTTGTTATTATTTATTTACTTATATATAATCAGTCATTTATTTGCTGATTTAACTAAAAAAACTTTATTTTATTTCGATTATTTATTGCTCAAAATAAGCGTGTGTGTGTTTATATAAATTCATTTTAATATATATATATATATATATATATATATATATATATATATATATATATATATATATACGTTTTTTATAAAAAAAATATTTAATCCAGGCTAAAATGAATAAATGAAATGAATAAATATTGAAGTGGCATGTAAGGATATTTTCCTATGCATAGGTATGATGATATGTATATGATGTAAACGTGTACCATCAATTCTGTTGATGCACCGAATAGTCGATTCACTATTTGCATTATTCGGCCGAAGTCAAAGGTAAAAACTCACAATCTTGAAAAAATTATTTATTTTGAATGAAAAATAGGCTATTGTTAAAAAAAACTGGCGATTCATATCTATCCAACAATTCTAGAGATAATATTAAATATTTTGTTCAAATTCAGGTGTTTCAACAGCTATGATTGCAGAAATAAATTTTCCGCTAATAGTATTTAACAATAATCGTTCTAGAATTCAAAAATTTATGGTTATAACAGAAGTTGTACTATTCGGCTTTGAAATGGCCGAAACCGAATGTAATATTTTGGCCGGCCGAACATTCGGTGCGTCTCCAATAAAATCATTTAATGAACGAGTGAATGCCGTGTGAACGCACAAATTTATATATTCGAATAAGAGAACTCAGGCTTATTGAACAATCTTTTCATGAATGAATGAATGTACCGATGAATGCATGAATGTCATGTAATAAAATAAGACAAAAAGATAAAATAAGGCCATATTTGCAGCATGAATTTGGAAAATAAGTTTATTTTGAATTTTAATAAACTAAACGTTCACCAAAAAACTTTAGTGAGGAAAATTGAAAAAACTACTGAACTACATGTACAAACATATTAAAGCTAAACATTTCGGTAGAATTTATAGAACATTGTAAAATATATATATATACATATATATATGTGTGTGTGTGTGTTTGTGCAGTAATTCATGAAATCTACCATTAATGACGACAAGAATTAGGTTAGAAATATTGAGAAATGTAATAAAAAAACTATCCAACGCCGGAAATTCGTGATTTAATAAATTACTGCATTAATTATGGTCTTTTATCAGCATATATATGTATGTATGTATATATATATATATATATATATATATATAGATGCTGGTAAAGTACATATATATATGTGTGTGTTTGTGTACTTGCGCGTGTGTATGTATGTTTATAATTATATAGGTGGATAAGTGGTATGTAAGTGTGTGGTTGGGAATATATAACATTTCATCATTATTATTATTATTATAAATGAAAAATTTAATAAAGCGCTAATTCAAAGGATCTCAAAAGCGCTATCAAAAAATATCATGGCATAATCATCAAAATAAAGGGTTATCAGTGCATTTCAACGAAAAAATTATAAGAAAAAAAACACAGTCTTCATTATTTCCTTAATCTAACATGGCCCAATAAACAAAATAAATCACTCCGTTATAACTAAAACAAGTCAGTTCAATGAATTACGATGAAAATAAGTAAGTTTTCAGTTTTCTTTTAAAATCAGGCAGGTTCAACTCCGGATCTTTTAGAAAGGCAGGCAAATTGTTCCAAACAGACGGTCCCAAGCAGGCGATGTTACGAGACACCATATGAAGACACGAAACTGGGACTAGCAGCAGGTTCAGATCATGATACCTCAGATGCGTTTCAGAAGGAGGTGCCAACTTCTTTGCAAACATTCCTGACAAATAAGATAGTGCAAGACGGTTTATTGACTTGTAGACTAGAGTTGATATTTTGAATATTATTCTTTTTTTATACGGTTAGCCAGTGTAGTTGTTTCAGTATTGGTGA